GCAGGAGGACCCGCTGGCGCCTGCCGCCACCGCCGCACCGGGCAGCAGGGCAGTGCGCAGCGAGCTGGTGGTGGAGGAGACCGGGGCCGTGGTGCGGCGCCGCAGCCTGCTGCCGCTGTCCTTCACCGACCCCTACACCAAGGCAACCGGCGTACAGGGCCGCAACGCCGACGGCTCCTGCCCCATCTTCCCCGACTCCTCCCCCTGGCACCAGGACGTGTCGGGGCTGTCCGTGCACCCGCGCAGCGAGGCCATCAAGAGCAACATCGGGCCCAACAAGGGGCTGCACTTCGACTTCGGGTTTGAAGTCTCCTACCTGGGAACCAAGGTGCGGACCCACATGGGGGATGTAGGGCCAGCACTGCTTTTGTACTATGCTATGCTTCGGGCAAATGCGTTCAACAACGGCTTGCATTGCCTGTCTGCATGCAGTTTCCTGCCGGCAAGCCAATTAACATCATCGACAGCAGGAACATCACCACCCGTACCAAGGTAGGCGAAGGCTAGAAAGAGCTGCTATTTAAACGACACTGCTGGGCTCTGGCGGCTAGGATGGCACCGAGCTTTGCGTAGGGAACAACATTTGCTCCCGTACTGCTGTTGGAGCATGCGTATGCCTTACCCCGCCCCCTGCCCCGCTGCTGCTGCAGGTGGTCCCCGGCCCCACCGGCTACTTCGACCCAACCGAAAACAACCCGAACGGCTTCCCCTTCCCAGCGGACCTGAAGATCCAGAACGCCTTCCCGGGCTGCGGCGACCCGCCCTGCTGGGGCGACAGGCACATGATTGTGGTGGACAACGCAACATGCACGCTGTACGAATCCTACAGAACGTGAGGACGGGGAGGAAAGCATGGAGTTGGGTTAAGAGTATAGTCCCGTTGTTTTACTGTCCTGCACCTGCCGCCTGCGTTTGTGAGTTGCCATGTGCCACTCTGTGCACTTTCTTCATGACTTAGTGCCATGTTGCGCTCCGCTTCGCAGCTTCCCGCCGTCTGTGACCAAGAACGGCACGTGGCAGGTGAGATCAGGGACGTCGCTGGCCACGAGGACGAAGCTGACCTAGGATGCCGTTTGACAGCTTTAGGTTACCGTAATAGACGACCTCGGTGATTCACGCATGGCTGATGCATGCTAGCACGCCTGAGACCACAATGCGGTTTTCGTCGCCCTGCCTTGCTTTTCGTACTTGCGCCTCCTACTGCCACCTTCATCCTGTCACCCCGCTGGTCTGCCCCCTTCCTTCCCCGCCTTCCCCAGATCGACTATCTGTGCCACTTCAACCTGTCCCGAGCTGCGATCGAACGGCCCATGGGCGCCACCTCCGCTGATGCCGCCGGCCTGGCCATCCTGCCGGGCCTGGTGCGGTACGAGGAGATCGCACTGGGCTACATCGACCACGCGCTGCGCTTCACTGGGCCCTGCTCCCGGCCCGCCTACGCGCTGCCCGCCACGCACTTCGCGTCCGTGGGCTACAACGGCACCGACGCGCCCTACATGGGCATGCGGGTGCGCCTCAAGGCAAACTACAACTGCACCAAGCTGGCGCGGGCTGCGCGCATCTTTTGCGAGGCACTCAAGAAGTACGGCGGAATCTATGCGGACAACGGCGCTGTGTGGGACTTCGACGGTAAGGAGAAGGTTTGGCAGTCCGGTGACCGACCCATGGGTCTGGCATGGCAGCAAAGAGGCCTAAGATGTTGTTGAATACCCTTCCATGGGGAGGCATACACTACAATACCGGTGCAGACATGTACTGTTGTCACCTTGGAAAGCTGAATACCGCTGCTGCCGCTGCTGATCATGCCACCATGCGGTCTCATATGCTGCCGCTCACCCCTCCCCGCACGCGCAGGCGAGGCTACCGAGAAGTGGTACCCTCTTTGGTCGGAGCTCACCGACATCTACAAGATCAACTCCACTGAGCTGGAGGTGCGTGGGGGCGGGATCAGGGAATGGGTTGGCGTCTTGCTGCTCATGAGTGCCGATTGAACCCGGGTGCAATCGTGTGTTACATGTCGTTCCCTGACCCGCAGGTGATCGACCCCGGCTGCATTTGCACCAACGGCGGCTGCACCATTGCGGAGTGCCACGGGTGAGCGGGCAGGGAGGGTGCTCGGGGGCGTAACTCTGGTGGTAACTATTGTCACCCGATGCAATGCAAATCACATCAAGCCAGCCTAAACCCACACCGTGTCCCCTGCTCGCCTTCCGCCTGCTTTTCTCTCCTCTCCGCAGACTGGCCTGGGTGGACCCGAACTCGCCCCTCGTGTTCCCCGCGATTGACAACTCGTCCAACATCGTGTTTGCCAACAACTTCTACTACAAGCCCAACACGACGGGGCTGTACATCGACCAGCGCATCCCGCCGCTGGGTAACGGCTACAGCGGCGGCCTGTCGGGCTGGCAGGCGTACCTTCCCGGGCTGGAGGCGGGCAGTCGCGAGGTGGATCCCGCCATCAACACCACCTCCTACCGCCCGCTGCCCAACAGCCCAGTCAGGAGCGCGGTGCCGCGCCTAGCACTGGCGGCACAAGACTTCTACGGCAGGAGCCGGGGGACGGAGGATGTGACAGACGCAGGGGCAGTGCTGTACTAGGGGCGCCGGCAGCGGTGGCGCAGGCGCTGCGAGCAAGGGTGTGGCGTGTCATGTGAGCAGCGGGGTGCAGCGGAGGCGCTGCAATGTGTGGAGATGTGTGAAGGCTGGGTGAGCAGAAGAGTTATGCATGCAGTGGTTGCTACTTGGGTTGCCTAGCGGTTGCTCAGGGGTGGCTGTTGTCGTTATCGTGATTGGTCTTCCTCTGGTTCAATCAGCACTTTACTCTTATACGGCACTAGGCAGTGATTCCTCCCCGTTTATATACTAAGCTTCGCCGGCCGGTCCTCCCATGTAGCGGCCGCATCGTGACATGGGTTGGCAGAAGCCCGGTCGTCCTTAATCGCTGTCGTCTCTGGGTTCATGTGCATGTGATTAAGACGGCAACTATTGACATTTATCCACGCATTTTTTGTGTGAGCTGCGTAAGCCACGGCCATCGTGGCCTGGGGGGGTTCCCTTTCCCATCATTGGTACATTAGTAGAGGATTATGAAAACTGCGAGCACCGCCTCGTGCACTGATCCTCAATCACTTCTTGTCTTGGTTCTTCATTACAGCATACAAGGCTTGCATGTATGTAGGTGCTACAGTGTATGGAGGTTAGGGAGTATAGTAGGGACTATGATGTAGCCGGTAGGACTGGTGAGCAGGAACCTTGCTGGCACTGATTTAGGCAGCCCTTGTGGGCTGTTGGCACATGCATGTAGTTGAAAGAATTTTCCTTTGACCGTTGACGTCACCTTTTGCGGATGTCAGGCAACGTGTGTTGCAGAGTTCCTTAGCCTGACGTTGGTCGCACCTTTTTCAAGGAGCTACTTTGGCGGTGGACTATTGTGTGGTTTGCTGCCATTTTGAGAGAACGCCTGTCGAGGTGACCCATGGGACATGATATCCACCGTTCCTACGTTGTGGTAACAGGTGTGGACCACCACAGACTCACACACGGGATGTTCTTCAACAGGACACTCTAGTACCTACTGCTCTGCTAACAAGGGTTCCATGGAAAGCAGCCATAACAGACGTCACACGTCTCCACACAGAAGGACGCCCAACAGGGCTAGTTTGCTTCCCGCAAAGGTCGATCCAAAGTTAACTTAATTGCCCCCCGCCAGCATGGAAAAAGCCATGTTAGGCATGCATCCTCATGGCGGGTTAGGTAAGCTGATACGCCTTACATGGCGAAAGACGAGCAACACCTATCAAGGGTCTGAAGATTGGCGAGCCGCAGGAACACACGGCACAAGCCCTTCAACTCCGCTATCCAAGCAACATAGGAACAAGGAAGCGTACGCAACACACAGCGGCAGTACCCGCACATGGCAGCCGCAATGCTAATAGCAACAGGGTAACAAGTGTGCTCAATTCTGCGAAGTAGCCAATTCCTCGTAGTAGCTATATATCCTCGCAAGTTCGCGCCGCAAGATGCCGCAGTGCAACAGTCTCGGTAACAACAAGCAGCGCATGTTGCAGCACAGCAGCTAAGGATCTAAGATAAACACCGGGCCCTCGTACATGATGGGCCTATTTGACAAGTCGCAAAACAAGAATGCCAAGCTAGGAAAAGTTCGCATCAAGGTAACGGCATGGCAGGGTCACAACAGAGAAGTTTGCCAGCACCGGACACAAAGTGTCCACGCACAATATGATTGCGGATTTGAGGAGCACAGCCCCCATGGTAAGATCCTAGTATCTCACGTTGGCGGAATGACGCGCATGCACATGCTGTTGTAGCCGTCAGAAGGGAAGGTTTGCACAATGAATCCAACCAGGCCAAGTAAAGCAGCAGACCTGCAACACACCGCTGCTTCCAAAGGCTTCGATCAATGTGAAATGGCATGCATGCATAAAGTCTGCCTGCTTAGGCCAGAACTGATCACGTTGATCAGTACCTTAACCAGTAGTTCCAGGATTCGCAGTGATAGATACTAAGTAACTCCCCCAGTACATGCGCGAAGATAAAGCCCAAGCATGCCTCCATTGATGCCTCCCGGAACATGAGGGAAACATTCGGTCACGTAAAATCCTGGCTAACGCAGTCTCCGACCCTCAGAGCAGGGATACCACAAAAGCAGCCGCGCGGTGTCGAACCCTGGGACACATCCCAGGTCCTGTCCTCGCTGCCCACACCTGCGCCACCGGCAATGTCGCGCTGCTATGCTCATTAGTACAGCACTGCTCCAGCGTCCGTCTTGACGCCGGTTCCCCGGCTCCTGCCATAGAAGTCCTGCGCCGCCAGTGCCAGGCGCGGCACCGCGCTCCTGACTGGGCTGTTGGGAAGCGGGCGGCAGGAGGTGGTGTTGATGGCGGGGTCCACCTCGCGGCTGCCCGCCTCCAGCCCGGGCAGGTACGCCTGCCAGCCCGACAGGCCGCCGCTGTAGCCGTTACCCAGCGGCGGGATGCGCTGGTCGATGTACAGCCCCGTCGTGTTGGGCTTGTAGTAGAAGTTGTTGGCAAACACGATGTTGGACGAGTTGTCAATCGCGGGGAACACGAGAGGCGAGTTCGGGTCCACCCAGGCCAGTCTGCGGAGAGGAGAGCAAAGCAGGCGGAAGGCGAGCAGGGGATATGGTGTGGGTTTAGGCTGGCTTGATGTGATTTGCATTGCATCGGGTGACAATAGTTACCACCAGAGTTATGCCCCCGAGCACCCTGCCTGCCCGCTCACCCGTGGCACTCCGCAATGGTGCAGCCGCCGTTGGTGCAAATGCAGCCGGGGTCGATGACCTGCGATAGGTCGGAGAACGACATGTATCATAATATTGCACCTGAGTTCACACGGCACTCATAAGAGGCAAGAAATCAACCGCACACATCGCCCCCACTCACCTCCAGTTCGGTGGAATTGATCTTGTAGATGTCGGTGAGCTCCGACCAAAGAGGGTACCACTTCTCGGTAGCCTCGCCTGCGAGTGTGAGGAGGGGCGAGCGGCAGCATACGAGACCGCATGGTGGCACGATCAGCAGCGGCAGCAGCGGTATTCAGCTTTCCAAGGTAACAACAGTACACGCCTGCGCCGGTATTGCACTGTATGCCTCCCCATGGAAGGGTATTCAACAACATCTTAGGCCAGACCCGTGCGTCGGTCACCGGACTGCCAGACCTCCTCCTTACCGTCAAAGTCCCACACAGCGCCGTTGTCCGCATAGATTCCGCCGTACTTCTTGAGCGCCTCGCAAAAGATGCGCGCAGCCCGCGCCAGCTTGGTGCAGTTGTAGTTTGCCTTGAGGCGCACCCGCATGCCCATGTAGGGCGCGTCGGTGCCGTTGTAGCCCACGGACGCGAAGTGCGTGGCGGGCAGCGCGTAGGCGGGCCGGGAGCAGGGCCCGGTGAAGCGCAGCGCGTGGTCGATGTAGCCCCGCACGATCTCCTCGTACCGCACCAGGCCCGGCAGGATGGCCAGGCCGGCGGCATCAGCGGAGGTGGCGCCCATGGGCCGTTCGATCGCAGCTCGGGACAGGTTGAAGTGGCACAGATAGTCGATCTAGGGAAGGCGGGGAGCGAAGTGGGTGAGAGGAGTGGGGTGGGAAGAGTGGGCGGGGTTGATAGGTGGCAGTAGGAGACATGTACGAAAAGCATGAGAGATGCGGCGAGGATTCGCATTCTGCGCCAAGCATGCGCACCGTCGATGCGAGGGACAACGAGGTCGCCTGTTAGCTTCTTAGTAGCACCGGTAGCCTGGACAGCCCCCACAGGACCCACCATGTAACATCACCATGCATAAACTTTCCACGTGGCCCATGCAATTGACCTTACCTGCCACGTGCCGTTCTTGGTCACAGACGGCGGGAAGCTGCGAAGGGGCCGAGAAACGTCTTTGTGAAGCCAGTAAGATTGTGCACGGCGCGGCATATGGCGTTTTGAGGTCAGTATATTTATGCATGGAGTGACGTGGCATCTCAAAAACGCAGGCGGCAGGCGCAGAAAGATACGGCAGGGACTGACGTGCAGCACAGACGCCAGTTGCCCATGGCAACCGCCTCCACCCGCCACAACCAAGTTATCGCTCCCATGCCTCCCTCCCCGTCCTCACGTTCTGTAGGATTCGTACAGCGTGCATGTTGCGTTGTCCACCACAATCATGTGCCGGTCGCCCCAGCAGGGCGGGTCGCCGCAGCCCGGGAAGGCGTTCTGGATCTTCAGGTCCGCTGGGAAGGGGAAGCCGTTCGGGTTGTTCTCGGTCGGGTCGAAGTAGCCGGTGGGGCCGGGGACCACCTGCAGCAACAGCGGGGCAGGGGGCGGGGTAAGGCATACACATGCTTCAACAGCAGTACGGGAGCAAATGTTACTCAAAGCTCGGTGCCATCCTAGCCGCCAAAGCCCAGCAGTGTCGTTTAAAAAGCAGCCCTTTCTGGCCTTCGCCTACCTTGATACGGGTGGTGATGTTCCTGCTGTCGATGATGTTAATTGGCTTGCCGGCAGGAAACTGCATGCAGACAGGCAATGCAAGCCGTTGTTGAACGCATTTGCCCGAAGCATAGCATAGTACAAAAGCAGTGCTGGCCCTACATCCCCCATGTGGGTCCGCACCTTGGTTCCCAGGTAGGATACCTCGAACCCGAAGTCGAAGTGCAGCCCCTTGTTGGGCCCGATGTTGCTCTTGATGGCCTCGCTGCGCGGGTGCACGGACAGCCCGGACACGTCCTGGTGCCAGGGGGAGGAGTCGGGGAAGACCGGGCAGGAGCCGTCGGCGTTGCGGCCCTGTACGCCGGTTGCCTTGGTGTAGGGGTCGGTGAAGGACAGCGGCAGCAGGCTGCGGCGCCGCACCACGGCCCCGGTCTCCTCCACCACCAGCTCGCTGCGCACTGCCCTGCTGCCCGGTGCGGCGGTGGCGGCGGGCGCCAGCGGGTCCTCCTGCCAGACCTGCGTCATGCCGCGCAGCTGCCGGCGTGCGGCGGTGCAGGTGCCGGTCGGGCGGCTGATGTTGAGCTTGAGGTTCACGAGGCTGCCCTGCAGGATGCGCGCCTGCACCACGAAGCGCAGGAAGGTGCCGGGCGGCAGCGTCACGATGTTGTTCTTGAAGGTGATGTTGGTGTTGGGCGGCCCGACCTCCGAGGCGGGCCCGATCTGCTTGGGGCTGACGTTGAGCAGCACGCCCGCCTGCATGGTGCCCGCCACGCCGAGGATGGTGTTGTGCACCACCACCGCGTCACGGGCGCCGTAGAAGGCGATGCCCGCACCCGCACCGCCGTCCAGGATGTTGCTGCGAAGGGAGGGGAAGAAGCACAGGACGTGAGAGGGTAGGTGGTGATACGGGGAAGACAGGGTCATGGGGACAAGGATATAGGAAGGCTGTGCAGGGACATGACATGTAGGCGGTGAGGCAGAGGCGAGGACGTGAGGTGAGATGCTACGAGGACGGCAGGGTTACTGAGGCAGCGCGGCCGTCCAAAAACGGCTAGTGCACAGGACGACGGCGCCCGAAGTGTAGATTTAAACACCGAACCCAACCCAAAGAGACCAAAGGAAGGCTCACTTGATCACGGTAGTATTGAAGCAGTCGTGCCATGAAGGCGTGCTGTAGCCGTACTTGGCCCAGTCCACGTCCATGTTGGAGACATCAGTGCCCTCGCTGCCGAGCATGATGCCCACTCCGCCGAAGTTCCTGAGACGTAGAGAGGGCAGCCAGTGAAAGTGGGAGGGCGGTTGGACTAGGAAGGCAGGTCAAGGCGTCACTTGGCGCTCGAGCACTCTGCATATTAGTACGCGAACCACGTATTTTAGCATGTTCTCCTTCCTCTCCAGAAGCTATGCAGCGCCATCAAGCAAATCCCAACCCGCCCCCCTCCTGCCCCCGCCCCCTTACTTGATGTAGTTCCTGTCCACCCGCGTGTTGCGCACTCCGCCGCCCAGCCGGATGCCCGCCTCGCCCGGGTTGAGGATGTTGTTGGCGCGGATGGTCAGGTTGCCGCCGCCCACCACGTTGATGCCCACCAGGCCCGGCCCGCTGATGTTCAGCCGCTCCATCACCACGCCGTACACGAACGTGCTCAGCTTGATGCCGTGCGTGCCGCAGTTGGTCAGGTTCATGTCCTGCGGGGCGAAGAGGGGGAGGGGAAAGGGAAGAATGGCGGAGGGAAGTGAGGAGCAAAGCGAACATGGTGCGTGGGAGGACCCGTACCAAGGGACACACAAGAGAGTGCCTAGAAGGCAACAGGCCCCAACCAACAAGCCTCAACGCCCACTCCCCCCCCCCACCGCCCCGCCTCACCGTGAAGAAGGAGAGCAGCGGTGAGAACTTGCCGCTGGTCCCCGCGTACCAGTTCCAGTAGGGGCTGGTGCCGCTGCCGCCGGGTCCGTCCAGGTGCATGCAGCTGCCGCTGGAGCCGTTGGACATGGCGATGTCCAGCCCCGTGATGTTGATGGCGGTGGCGCTGAAGTACATGTAGATGCAGGGCGTGGTGACGTTCTGGGAGCAGACGATGGTGGCGCGGGCGGGCAGGTCGGCCGGGTGGGTGGTGATGCTGGTGTTGGTGGCCTTCATGAAGGTGATGTAGCCGGGGTGGCGCTGGCCGGGACCCGCGCGCAGGAAGATGCGGTCGCAGTTGCTGCCGTGGTCCAACGCGGCCTGGATCGTCCTGAAGGGCTGGGCGTAGTTGGCATAGTAGTCAAAGGGCTGGCTGTCGTTGCCGTAGATTGCATCCACGGTAAGGTTCTTGCAGATGCGAGACTGCCAAAAGTAGTACGGCCAACCGAAGTCAAACGTCGATGGACGCCCCATGCCCTTAAAGGCAGCATACGCTTTGAAGGCATCAGGCACGGGTGGAATGGCTTTTACAGCTCCTGCAGCACCGGACTGCACTGCGCCGGCGTCGTAGAGACCCACGGGTCGCTTGCGGCTGTGGAAATCATTGTTGTTGGGCGGGATGTCTCCCGGAATGGTCATGGGCACCCGTCCCTTTGCCGGGCTGCACGGCAGGGGTGTGAAGGTGGCGTTGAGGCGCGGGTCTGCCTCTGTGCTGTTCACCTCGCACATGGTGAGGTTCAGCTTGGCGGTGCAGAACTGCCGCCAGCCGCTCAGGTTGCCCACGAACAGGCTCCCGGCGCGCTGGTCCTCCAGCATCACTCCCACGCCCCACTTGAACGTGCCGTTGGTGGCCGCCTGCGCCGCCTGGTCGTGGTACACGTTGTAGCCCGTGGTGAGGTTGGGCGAGACCGTGTCCAGGCCACTGGCGCGGATCTGCAGCAGCGGGCCCGCGGCCGCGGAGGCCGAGCGCGCCACGATGTTGCCCCACAGCGTGACGTCCCTGTTGCCCAGGTACACGTTGCCGCGGCCCGTGATGCCGTGGACGGAGGCGTCCAGCAGGATCCCCGCCTGGCCGCCCTCCATGACGCGCCACAGGGTGTTGTGGGTCACGCTGGTGCGCAGCGCCCCGCGCAGCACGATGCCGGCCAGGCGGGTGGCGGTGATGATGTTGTTGCGCAGCGTGGTGTTGATCGCCTCGTACAGGTTGGGGTTGTCCAGCGTGTTGAACATGTCGGCGCCCGTGAAGCCGCCCACCTCGATGCCGCTGTTGACCTGCTCCATGTAGTTGCGCTTGAGGCTGGCGCGCGCGGTGCCGCCCGCCAGCAGCACGGCGCCGCCCGCCGTGTCGTGGAAGTAGCAGTCGGAGATGTCCAGGTCGTACGCCTGTACGGCCTCGATGCCGAAGCCGTAGGTGCGGAAGCGCGTGCCGGCGTTGTAGATCTCGCAGTTGCTGAAGCTGTTGTTGCGCGAGTTGACGGACAGCTTGACGCAGCTGCTGCCAGTGTCGTGGATGCTGCGAGAGGGGGGGCCGGGCAGAGAGGGAAGAGGGCACAAGGCGCGGAACAGCGTTGGGCCTATCATGGTCCTTTCCGATGCAATTGGGGACAGCAACTGCATACAAAAGCCAAACTCAATAGCCCACACTCCATAGCCAACGGACTTAACTTGTGGCGTTTCTGTGGGAGGACTTCATCTTCCAGCAATCACAGTACGTTCCGCCTTGCGGCCAGTTTTCTTAGCACACCGCGGCTGCTCTCACCGCATGTTCTGCAGCACCCAGTTGCTTGGCGCCGTGCCGTTGGCCACGTTCTGCTGGGTGGTGCGGTAGGTGCCCCAGGCCGTGTAGAACATGACGGCGTAGTAGAAGCCGCCGGTGATTTCGAAGTTCTGAAACACGCCGTTGTCCGCGCCCGGGAAGATGGTGAAGGTGTTGACGGCGCCGTGCGGGTCGTTGAGCGGACTGGAGATGACGGCCCAGTGGCCGGGGGCGGACTGCAGGGTGATGTTGGGCTGCGTGATGGACAGGGAACCTGAGGAAGGGATGTGCTGAGGGAGTGAGGGGAGGTAATGTGGCTGAACGACACGCCAGCAGGCAAGGGAACCATGCTAGGGGCATTGGCCGGTTAAGCCAGGGTCACAAGGGTCCGGTGGATGTCCATGAGCTGGCGGCAGCAACGCTCCCTCTTACCTCCGTACGAGCCTGTTTTCATGTAGATCTTATCTCCTGGCTTGGCCCAGATCAGCGCCTTGGCGGGCGACGCGAAGGGCAGCTCGGGTTGCCCGCTGTACGCCTCGTCATTGCCCTCCGGCCCCACCCACCAGATGCGAGGGACGCTGGTGACGTTGTAGGGATACTTGACGGTGGGCGCGGTTGCCCCCGCGGCTGTGTCGTATGTGATGGTGAGCGAGGGGCGGAACAGCGTGCCGTTCTGCCAGGCGGCGTTCATCACGAAGATGGAGCCGTTCATGCCCCTGCCGGAGAGGAAAGGGTAGCGGACAGCAGTTGGGAAGCGCAAGAAGGGGCATGCAATGGGGAATGCAGCACGAACCATACATTGGCTCGAAGGCGCACGAACACAAATTTGGTTGGGCGTCTTGGCTGGTCTTTCAGCAATGCGCAACCTAAGCCGCTAAAGCCTGAAAACCCACCTGAACATCATGCCATAGTTGGCGGCGCCCTTGTTAGCGATCCAGCCGGCGACTATCTTGGTGTCCAGCGGGATGGTGATGGGGTAGTAGGCCTGCCCGCTGCCGCTGATGTAGGGCGCCAGGAAGCTGATGTTGGCTTGGCGGTTGCAGTCCGCCCAGCCGCCCGGCTCCGTCCAGTTGAGGCTGGCGCTGCCGTTCCAGCGCGAGTACAGCCAACCGGTGGACGTGAACCTGAGGGGGCAGCAGCGGGGGCAGAAGCGGCAGCCGGGGTGGTGGTGCCTGACGCTGGCATAGAGGGGACCAGATAGTGCAGTGCAAGGAGCGCCGGAGGTAGTCGGGCGACGGCCCCTCGTCATGCTGCTGCACCCCGCCCTAGGCCCTCCCATCACCTCCTCACCTCTGCGCCGGCAGCTCGTAGGCGCTCCACTGCTTCGACATGTAGCACGCCTGCACCTGCACCCAGTAGTGCACGTTGAGGAAGGTGACCACCAGCTCCGCCGACTGCACCACGGCGCCCGCCGGCACGTAGCGGTGCAGGTCCTCGAAGCGAAGCAGGTAGCGGAACGTGCCGCTGTACCGCTCATCGCCAAAATTCATGTAGCCCTTGGAGTCGTTCCACCAATAGGTCAGACCGTTGGGAAACGTCTTGACAAGCTGCGAAAGAGTACGGGCAAGAGGCGGGTTTGTATGTAAGAGACGTCTTCCCTAACATTGAACAAAACGAAGGGTGCCCCCTGTTTAAGCTCGACATGCTACAGCACGGCGCATGCGACCAACATAATGCCTGCATGGAAGCGCACAATTGAGGTTACGCATGCCGCACGTTGCCAGGGTTATGAACCTAGCTCGGCATGTGCGCGGGATGCCGGCAATATATCATAGCCCAGACCCATCGTTTCTTACTTTACCGCATCGATTACATTGCCAAATGAATTTCATCACACGATTTAACGAGCGCATACACGCAGCAGCAGCTCTTGGCCCGGCAAGTAGTTCAAAGCGGAAAAGGTAACTTTGGCACACCTGGTTAGAGAATGATGTTTCGCGGGTTCCATTATAGACAGACGCTCTACCTCCAATTGGAGCAATCGAGCGCCCTGTCACGATGTGGACTCGCTGTTGTGCGCATTGTGCACATTGGAGCAGGATGACCAAGCTGAACAACAGCTGCAGTGTTCCCAGACCAGGCGGCGATTTCCCTAAGCCCAAAGCCATAGCGGTTGGCTGCAAGCTTGTTATGCTGTAAGACCCAAGAAGCAAGAGCTGTCAACTTGAACCCAATACTGGTGCTTATAACTAGCTAGAGGTAGGAGGAGGAAGGTCAAATGCTGATACACCAGGAAAAGCCACCCTAGCTGGTGGCTTTGAAGATGACGCACATGACAAATGGAGTTAGCCGCAGGTCAATGAAAAAGATGTCGTCCTTAATCGCTTTCACGCTATATCCGTAAGGAGCAATAGTAACCCCTTTCAATGCCATCGGCCTATGCCAGGTTCTACCTCAACACGTCGTACAGCTACCTGACGACCATGGGCCTTCCGTATGGCGAGAATGCAATAGTGACTACATAGATTACCTGTTGCATCAGAGGGCATGTCGCTTTGGGGCTTGTAGCGCCTTACAGTGGTATTCCTGCTACACCATATACCGGCATGTGCGCATGTCGTAACCGGTACCTACGGAGAATGAAGGGTGTCGCGAAATGACACGGCTGCGCTGGCCTGTGCATAGTGCTCACGCAAAGCCATCATAATTTCCCACTCTGTACGCGTGTACAATGTGTCTGTTCGAGCCAGAGGAGCATTAAGCCTCAAGGTTAAGCAGATCGTGCCGTATGTCTCAACGTCCGCACGCCGCTGCTCCGGCGGCATGCAAGCGCGACGTGTCAACGTATCAACGTGGAAGTGCACTACTACCGGTGTCACAGCGGCGCAGCAGCTATCATCGGCTCACAACGGCTCTGCCCCAGTGACCGCCGCGTGCGGCCGCTGCCAGCGCCCCGGACAGCCTCCCCACCACACCACATCACACCGCTTCCCCTTTACCCTCTACCTCCACGTCCCTCCTCTTTCCACGGGCACTTCCTCTCTCGGCTCACCTCCCCTGCACACCACCCCCTTCCCTCCTTGCTTCACCCCTCCGGCCTGCACGCCCAACTACCCTCCACGCGTCTCCCTCTTCCCACCCCCCCTCCCCCCCCGTCCTCCCCGCCCTCCCCTCCCAGCCTCCTTCCCTCTCGCTCCCCCCTTCTCCCCTCCTCCTCCTCCTCCCCTCCCACCCACCTTCCCTCCCCCTCCCTCTCCCCTTCCAGCCCCCCTCTCCTTCCCTCCCTTCCCCCCTCTGCTCCCCTTTCCCCCCTTTCCCTCCCGCCTGCCGCCGCCCTGCTCCTCCCTCCGCTCCGCCTCATAGTCCGCCGCCGCGCCGATTCGGTCGCTCAGCCGCCTCCTCTTGGCGGCCCGCTTGTCCCTCCGCAGCGCCGTCATCCAGTCGGGCACCTCCCCGCCCGCTGCCCGGATCTGGTTGGCGATGGGGCGCAGTGAGGGCGCGTCGTCCTCCGTGAAGAACGTGATGGCGTCACCTGGGGGGGGGGGAAGATCGGGAGGGCAGGGCAGGGAATCAATAGGGATACATATTCCGCATTGGGCTGGATTTTAGGATTGCGTGTAGTCGTTGGGTTAGTCGCAGCACACAAAGTACAAACCGTAATAAAGCAGGGCAAGGCAGGGCAGGAGGAGGGAAGCGGTTTAACATGTATTGGGTGCATACCCGTGCATTGCACCCAGGTCCGCAGCTGCACAGCGGGGGAGCGGCGGTTACACCCCACCCCCCACCCCGACCCTGCCCCCCATTCCCCAGCACCCCCACTGCTCACCCGTGCGCCCCGCCCTGCCGGTTCGCCCGATGCGGTGCACGTAGTCGGCAGTGGATCGCGGGAAGTCGTAGTTGACCACGGTGTTGACCCCAACGAAGTCCATGCCGCGCCCGATGAGGTCCGTGGCGATCAACACCCACGTGCGACCCGACCTTTGAGGGGGGGAGGGGGGGCAGCAGGGAGGCAGGAGGGAGGCAGGGCAAGCAAATAGAATATAGAGTCAAGCCAGGCTTCCAAAGAGAAGAGGTGGGATAGCAGGGTTGCTTGGCGAAGGCATGTGCGGTGCGGCGACCAGCCTAGTAAGGGGCCGAAACATGCCCTGACTCCACTCGCCCGCCTGCCTCTGCCTTACGACATGCCACATGCGACATCGTCCCCGCGCTTCCACACCCTCATCCAACTTCCCAACTCACCCCTGTCAACCCATGCCCCCCCCTCCCCTCCACAAGCACACGCAAATCCCTCCTCCAGCCCTCACGACCCCCACCCCCCACCTGAAGTTTTCCACTGCTGCGTTCCTGGCTGCTTGCGGCTGGCCCGCGGTGAGGGAGTCCACGTGGATGCCGTCGTACAGCAGCTCCCTGACAGCAGGGGGGGAGGAGGGGGAGGGGGTAATTTGGAAACAGAATCCGAATTAGGCTGGATATTTGGGTTAGCATATAATTGTAGTTGTTGTATAGTTACTAGCATCAATCAATAACAAACCGTATTGTAAGCTCCGTGGCGGCTGGGGTGATCTGAGATCACTCTGCATTGGCGAATAAAAGGCGGCTGCTACTGTGATAACTGGCTCCACTGCGCTAGACCTGATGTCTGTGCTGCAATGCTGTCAGCAGCATAACGTATGTAAGCTCCGCTGCTTAGCTGGGGCTGTCATGCGGCTGTGTGCACCAAAGCATCCCACCCTGCCCGACCCTCGCAAATGACCCATGGGTCTAACAAAGCCCAGCCCACACACTAGTCCGAACCCTGACTAACCTGCGTAGCAAGGGGAAATTGTGCAACGAAGACGTACCAAATTTCGTTAATAGTGAGCGAAAAGCGTCCAGAGACACAAGAAGGCGGCGCGACGAGCGAACAGAAAGCAGGCATGCGTCCCTGTGCTGTGCTGGTGCTGCGAGCTGCGCTCTATATCGACGCAGGCTGTATGACAATGAAGATGGCTGGCTTATCATGATTAAAGAGAAGGAACTATGCCGAGAGTTAGTATTTATGCGAAAGACGGCGATGCGAAGTACGGCATGGGACGAGAGCATGCTTAATTAAGCGCAAGCGCAGTATGGGTATTTTGATCTAGATATGCAGAGGGTGCAAAACGGGGGGGAGGGGGGGGGAGAAAAAATTAAATAAGTGAAACAACGAGTCCCAATCCCATATCCCGACTCATGCAGTGAGCGCATTCGGGGGGGAGGGGGCAGGCGGATTAGCTGCCTCGACACACACAGGGGGACGCGCGCAGTAGCGGTACCAACCTCGCTGTCCCATGAAAAACCAGCAACAAGTAGCACCCCGCCTGTTATAAATGTGTCTCGCTCCATTCCCCTCCTCTCCCCTCCCTCTCCAAGATTCGCCGCCGCTATCATTCACAGCATGCCACTCTTCTTCTCCCCCCCCGCCCACCTATAATCCAGCCTAATGCGGAATATTTTATTCCTATTACCCACCACCCCGCCCCCACCTGTGTAGCGCCTTGGCCCGCTCCTTGCTCCCCACAAACACCAGCACCGGCGGCGCCAGCCCCCCGTCCGCCAGCAGCTGCCGCAGCGCCAGCAGCTTGCCCGCCTCGCGCCCCACGAACTGCAGCCGCTGCCGTACGGTGGCGGTGGCGGCGTTCTTGAGCCCCACCGTCACCCGAAGCGGCTGCTGCAACACGGAGCGAGCCAGATCCTCCACCCGCTCCTGGCAGGGGAGGCAGGGGGTGAGGAGGGGGGTGGAGGGGGGTGGAGGGCGTGAAAGGGAAGGGCTGGTTGGGGTGTGTTTGGGTATGCACGTGTGACGTGTCCCTCTCCCACCCCCCTTCACCCTTGGACTCTTCAATACCCCCTGCCCCCCTCCCCATATTGCCTTTTTGCCCTTAACTTCTGCAGCTCCAATCTCATATCGGCTCCTTCTCCTTCCCCACCCCTGGTAAGTCCCTGAGTTGCGTGTTTTCTAGGATAGAGTCTCCGGCAATGCGCTCAATGCATGAGTCGGGATTCGGGATTGGGATCCCGTTGCTGAACATATCATTACTTCCCCCCTCACCGGCAGTGTCGCCGAGAACAGCGCCCGCGCCAGCTGCGGGTGCTGCGCCGCCGCCAGCAGCTCGTCCACCTGCTCCATGAAGCCCAGCTCGAACAGCTTGTCAGCCTCGTCAAGGATGATGTACCTGGGGGGCAACGGGGGGGAAGGGGGAGGGGGAGGGGGGGCAGCAGGGGGGGCAGCAGGGAGGGCAGCAGGGGGAGGGGGAGAAGAAGAATACCAAATGTGTTGATTGTTGGTTAATGGCAGGGGGAAGGGAGCAGGGAGGCTCTCAGCTGCTGTGCCCCTGCCTCAACTCAGCTCCCCGCTCAGCTACCTGCTCCGGCTTGGACGCTGGACCTCACCCCCTACCCTGGCACCCCACCTACTCCACCCCTCGAGCTCCCTCCCCTACGCATCTCACCCCTCCAGCCCAGTGCGGAATACCCATCCCATCTCGTAACCCCTCCCCCATTCCCCCCTCCCCCCCACCTGCACTCCCCCAGCGCCACCTTGCCCTCCCGCAGCATCCCCACCAGCCTCAGCGGGCACGCCAGCAGCAGGTCCACCCGACCCATGTCGCTGCCCGCGGCGGTGGAGCGGGACAGCAGGCAGGCGCGCAGCCCGCTGCCGGGCAGCAGCTGCTTCAGCACGCGGGCCTGAGCAGGGGGTCAAAGACCATACCATACCAGGGAAAGCCACAGGTTAGGGCAAAGCAAAGGGGATAGGAGCAGAGGGGGTAAAGAGGAAACAGACCGTGTGATGAGGCGTCATCATGGTTTGCAACGTGGGGGAGGGAAGACTACATGATAAGTGAGGCAACTGGAATCCCAAACCCATATCCCGACTCATGCAGTGAGTGGGGTGGGAAGGGGAGGGGGAGGTCTGTAGGGTTATGCGTGTGCGTGCTCAGAAGAGCGGGGTGCGGTGATGACCGGGCGGCAAGGAAAGCCGCTCGCATGTCCTTCCTCTTGCAACTGCCGGTATTATGTGTCATTCCTTCGCCCGCCTGACCCCTTCTCATTTCTCTTGTTTCATTTCTCTTACCCCTCCCCCCACACACAGACCTGCTGCGCCGCCAGCTCGTGTGTGGGGCTGAGCACCAGCGCCTTCACGCCCGCCGGCCACTCCCCCGCTCCCCGCATGGCGCGCAGCCGGGCCAGCAGCGGAACAAGGAAGGCGAGCGTCTTACCCGAGCCTGCAGCGGGAGGGGTAAGGGTAAGGTAGCGGAGAGGTGGCTGTTGTGTTTGGCGGCTGTTCCTACCTGACCTTGAGCCGCTGGGCAGTTTCCAAGAGCATATGTACCTCACTCGCCCTTCTCCTCCCTCCCTCCCTCCCTCCCTCTCTTCCGCCCGCTCCCTCCCCTCCAGCATGGTATTCCTTCCATCCCCCGCATCCCCTCCCCCCTCCCCAGTCCTCACCCGTGGGCGCCACCGCCAGCAGCTCCCGCCCCTCCAGCAGCGCGGGAATGGCCTGCCGCTGGATGGGGGTGGGCGCAGGGAAGCCGCCCCGCTGAAGAGAGGAAACCAGCCGCCGGCTCACCTTGTACCTGTTGTTGGGGGGAGGGGGAGTGGAGGGGGCGCGGGAGAGGAGGAGTGAGGACGGGTGTGGGGCGGGGAGCGGGGAGGAAGAAAGGGAGGAGGAGGGAGCAGCCATGCCCACCGCCTGCTACGTTGCTCCCGCTACCCCCGCCAAACAACCCGGACCCCATCACCCCATCACCCAGTAGACTCCAGTTGCTTCACTCTCCAATGATTCCACCCCCCTCCCACCCCCCCACCCCACCTGGTGACCAGCTCCGCAAAGCTCTTGAGGGGGGCGGGCACGTCGGTGCCGCTCACCTTGATGCGCAGGGCCTGGGGGGGCAGGTGGGGAAGGGGGAAGAAAGGGACGGGGAGGATAGCGGTAACGTTGGTAAGAGGGGGTTGGGGAGGGGACGGGGTCAGCGACGCCAGCAGGCAGAACGGGGGCGGGGGAGTGCAGTACGGAGCAAGCTGCACTGTCAGGGCATGTGTGAGCTGTGGCGGGCAGGCAGGCGGGCCCCGGCGCGCGGAGGCAGCACCAAGCAGTGAGCTCAGCACGTCAAGTCAGGAGGTTGTGAGAGCATGTCCCGGGTACGTGAAACAGGGGCGCCCCCACCGCACCCGCCGGTGCTGCTCCTCTGGCGTTGCAAACCCCCATGCACCGCCAAAGCCCCACCCCGCTGCCCCTACCGCCCCGCCGCCCCCACCTTCCGAATCAGGTTGGCCTCCTCCTGGGGGTCGTTGGTTTGTACGGCGGGGATGACGTCATCCACCAACGGTCCCAGATCCGCCAACTGCCGCCCTGATGTCGTGGCGACGCCGCTGCCGCCCCGCCGAGCCACTGCTGCATCCGGCTCCGCACCGCCCTTTCGCCGCCGGCCGCCCCCCTCCCCTTCACTATCCTCCTCCTCTTCGTCCTCATCCCCGCCGTCTTCCTCCCCGTCGTCGTCTCCAATGCTGCCACCATCCTCCTCCTCTTCGTCCTCGCCCTCACTCCCCTCGCCATCGCTGCCCTCCTCCTCTCCGTCCTCCTCCTCCTCCTCCTCATGCTGCTCCTGCTCCTCCTCCTGCTCGCTGCCGCTGCGGCCCTCACCGCCCGCAAACAGCGCAATATCGGGCTCACCTGTGCGACACAAGAAGGGGTTGGGGACGGGGTGTGGGTGTGCGGGGCCCAGCGGGTGGATGCGCCAGGGGTGTACGTGAAGCGATTGTACGTAAAGTCCACGCCATGTTACCCACAGCTGCTACCCTAACCTTCCTCTCCCCTTCCTCCACCCTCCACAGCGGCCTCAGCGGCTTCAGCATCCTCGGCACCCTGAGCCGTCATGGAGGGTAGCGATGGGCCCACCCTACTCACCCTCCTCCTCTGAATCCTGGCCAGCAGCAGCAGCCGCGCTGAGCCGCTTGCGCTTCCGGGCAAGCGCCTTAGCACGGGTGCGGCTGCTGCCCCCGCTGGCGCCAGCCTCCCCGCTGCCACCGCCGGCACGCCGGGCAGCCGCTAGCGCTGTTTCCTTAGCCGCAGCAGATGTAACTATGAGAGGGAGTAGTGGGAAGGGGAATTGGGTGGGAAGGGAGGGGATGTGGGTGGGCAAGGAGCGCCGCCGGGATGGGCTGTTGGAAGTTCCCATAGGCAAGCAGTACAGTGCTTGGTATGTCGTGACAGTAAGTACGGCTTTCGGTAGCTGTGTTCAATAACGCGCTTTTCCTCGGGTTTGCGCACCAGCTTTCGGATTGAAGGCATCGATGTCCTTCTTGTAGCGCCGCCGGTCAAATTTGGCACCTCCAGTAAGTAGTGCAAATGGATCCATACTGTCAGGACGTTGGTAAAGCTGGAAGTGTTCACAGTGCCATGAAAGGAAGGCCTATTTGTGCACGGCGAAAAATGCCGTTTGAGGTATTGTCTACAAGCCAGTTGCGTTTGGGTAATATGTTTTAGGTAGGGCAGTCACTGTGCGCATTCGCTCGCTTGAGCTGCTTTGCAGCCGGGGCCTTGATGTCGTGCAGAAACGTCCAACGCCCCGGTGGGTCGGCTGGTTGAGGCATCACATCCATCTCTCATGGCAGCGACTTTTTGATTTGAGTTATATTATCAATACTACCAGGTGACTTTGTTCTCATACTGCCAGACGCGCTGCATCATCAAGCTGCTTAGGCGCTGTTGTAAAGCTTTGGAACGCCGCACTAATAACCGGATATTGAATAACAGTTACTTTTTTAACAAGAATGTCGGGTGCTCTCCGGCAGCCAGGCCTTGCATGCCTTCGCAGTTTGCTTGTCGGGGTTCCAAAGGTTGGTAGTTGCAGATGCTTAGATGATTACCAACGTGTGATAGCTTGATGTAGCTCAACGCGGCTTGCCTCACTGGCAGGCGGGCGTCGAGGCGATCAGTGCCCCTGTCGGCTGCCAATCCTCCTGCGCTGGCCTGCTGAGGCTACACCACACACAACGTGTGGATGACTTATCAACGTGGTAAGGTCTCCCATATTGTGAACTCTTTGTTCAACGGGCTGGAGGGTTCGTTGTTCCCCAGAACGCCGTGGGTCAAGCCACAGAAAGACGCGTCCGCACTAGTTCCCGAACACCCCGTTCTGTCGACCTGTCACCTTTGTGGTGTGATTGCTCATTCCCCATGCTTGCCTTCCTTGTCTCACCATCATACCCTGGAGCGGCACCACGGCTAAACCTTCTGCCCTTGCTGCCGTACATCCCGCCCGCCGCCGCTGACCGCAACGCCACCACCGCCAGCAGCAGCAGTTCTGGGAGAGGAAGCAGCGCCAGCCATCCAATGGACAAGTCAGGGCGCTGCTCCTCATTCGCTGCATCTGGCGCTCATGGGAACACCGCCAGCGCAGTCATCGGTGCCCGCACGCCAGCTGGCTGCTTCGCCTCCAGCTCGACACCTCTGGCGCCACTGCCCAGCAGCCCCCATGCAACCTTTGCGACGATAGCGCTGCAGGTGGGTTCGGCTACACAGGAAGCTGCGTTCGGAGTGGGGTAGTAAAGGAATCAGCAGCCGCCCCTTTCAGGTTCGGGGTGCCGCATGTGGCCACCATGCTTGCCGGTGGATTCCTCCCGGTCGTACCGCCATTTAAACCGCCATCTCACAATGCCCCATCCACCCACCTCGTATGCGACATGTTATTAAACTTCCGTACGCATTCCGCCCATGTCCCGTACACGCCTCACAGCTGTCGCCGGGTGAGGGTCTGCTGGCGGCGCGGCGGCTGCGCTCGGAGCCGGAGCCCTTCGAGGACGAGTACGATGATGACGAGTACGAGGACGGGGAGTACGTGGATCTGGATGTGGAGGATCTGCTGGCGGACTTGGCTGACGTGGAGGACATTGACCTGGACGAGGGGGAGTTTGAGCTGAGCGACGAGAGCGACTCGGAGGGCGAGGCGGAGGAGGGGGAGCAGGCGCTACCGCCGCCGCCGCCGTCCGCTCGGCCGCGGAAGGACTGGCGGGTGTGATTGGAGTGGTGGAGATGGGGTGGAGGTGGGGTGTGGGAGGCGGGAGGGTGGAGAGCAGCAATGGGCGGAGGCGACAGGCGTGCGGGGGTTGGGGTAAGGCAGTGGTGTTTTCTAACACGCGAGAGGAAACCGCTTGGGCGAACCTTACAAGGCGGTGGGGGCGGTGGGCAGGGGCATGAGTGGTAGAGTCAACGCAGACGTAGCCTACTTCGGTGGCATGGAGTGCTGCGATGCAGGCGGTGGTGTGCCGTGATGGTGGCCGCCAAATAGTGTGCGGTTTGGTAGCCTAGGCAACCGCAGGCGCAAGGGTTGTAGCACTTGTAGGTGGGCTCCACTGCATAGCATGCTGGTAAAGACTGGGAGAGAGGCATAGAGCAACGCCCATATTCGTGACACGCTGGCGGCGCTGGCGGCATCTTGCTGGTTGCCGCAGCGCCCGCAGGCGTGTGAGTGCCATGTGGATGGTGATGTATGATGCGGCCCTCTCAACGTCCTGCTAGCATGGTGGTTCTGTCCATACATTGCGCGCTGTCACCATTTAGCCATTAAGTCAGATTATGAAGGAGAGTACCTTGGTTGGCGGAATTTATGTTACAAGGACTTCCAATAAGATTACGTAACGCCAAGTCAGGGAGGTTCCTCCAGCATGTTAAGATGCGCTCCGTCACCGTTGCGCTCCGTAACCCCTCCACCTTTCAACGCACCTGACCAACCATGCTCACCTAGATCACACGTATATATACCATTTTACTAATGTTCACAAGTTATTGAGGCCTCAAGCCGTACACCTGCTGCTTGCCTATAGCACGGGCATGGGGCATTCCCAGCTGCATACACGCAGACGCATAGCAGCCGCCCAGCAGCTTGTGCCGTACACGATAGGTACTGTACATCACATAACCTCCACCCACAGATAATAAGGATTTAGGGTTTTAACCACAGGTTACAATCCGTCACAAGCCACGAGCAGTGGTGTACATAGGCCTCTGTCGCTAACATATACAAGCACCCCGACCAGAATGCGAAGTAAACACCGAGGACGACTTTCGAAGGCACCCTGTTGACTTACGGTACCGGTAATTGCAACCAGTTTACAAACGACCATCCTGTGCACGTCATGCGAATCGAAGAAGGGATAGTCCTCACAGTCCAGATAACAAACTCAATCACGAGCAATGAGTTTACTCCGTGCAAACCCCCGACCTGCACATCTTTTCTTGCCTACCTGCTCCTCCCTCACACCCCCAACCAGCACACGCAGGTGTAACCTCAGCAGATCACGCAGCCCTTGCACGGCCCTTCGTCTTGCGCCACGGGCGCCATGCCCGCGTACTTGGCACCTGCCGCCACCTCCACACCGCTGTTGGGCACCCCGCTCACGCCGCCCTTCTGAATGGCCGCACCGGGGGGCACATCGGGCGCAACCTCGGCCCCACTCGCAGCGGCTGAAGCGGCCCTTGCCGGCGCGGGAGCAGCGGCAGCGCCCGAGGCGGGCCTTGCAGGGGCGGGAGCTGCGGCAGCGGCGCTTGCAGGGGCGGAGGCGGCGGCAGGGGCAGCAGCAGCCGGCTCTTCAGCAGCCGCCGCCCCTTCCGCAGCAGCCGGCTCCGCCCCCACCACCGCGGGCTGCTCCGCCACCTCCGTAGCGCCTGCGGGCACTGCCTCCGCCGCCACATCCACCACAGTCGCTGCCGCCGCCTCCTTCTTCTGAGGCTCCTCCTCCTGGGGTTGCGCTGCCTCCTCGGCCGCCGCCGCCGCCGCCTCCTGCGGCGCCGCTGGCTCCTCCTCCTGCGGCGGCACGCTGACCACCTGCCACTCGGGCTCCGAGGGCGCAGGGGCAACCACGGGCTCCGGCGGCGGCGGGGGCGGCGGCACGATACCCGCGCTGAGTGCGGTGATGGGCGTCTTCAGCTGGCCCATGCACTTGAGCTGCAGCCCGTCCAGCAGCGCCGACAGCTTGTGGTGGCACACCTCCACAACCATCATCACCTGCGAGTGCGAAGGTGTGGGTGTGAGGATGGATTGCGTTGTTGAGGAGAGGTTAGGGTTTGGGGCGTGGATGGTGATCATACATGGTGTCATTGAAACTGGGGTGTGCAGGGGCGACACACAAGGGCTCGGCTTCATGATTAGGGAGGCTTCCCAGGGATGCTAAGCATCAGGGTTAGAGTGACGATCATTCCGCACTGGGCTGAGATGTTATGAGGCTGTTATGAGGCGCAAGCCATACCAGCTACCAACAGAGCCGGGCATACACGCCGCAGGAGTACAAACGCCATGTAGCATTCCGTCGAGACGTCTAGTCGAGCCACACACCTGGCCGGTTGTAGGCTGCTGCTCCCCAGCGGTGAGCCCCAGGATAATTATGGCGGGGTTCTCCAGGCCGCCACCCTTCACCACAATCACCGCCGACTTCTCCGAATCGACGCCCAGATCTGTGCGAATGGTGATGCACGGCAGAGACCAATCACAAACGGTGCAAAACGCTAGTGGCCATGGCCAAACGATATATTTCCCGGCAAATGCTTTGGAGCAGAACCTTGCGGTTACTGTAGGGCTTCGCAACAGGGGTAACGGTCGGCATGGATAGCCGCCACAGCAGCAGGCCCTTCAAACAACACACGACATGCGGGGCCTGCTTTCTTAATACCCCCCCCCCAAACGGACTGCACTACGCACCCCCACCATACACACACACTCGAGGCCAGTTTTCTTCTTAACAACCCCCACCCGCACCCCACCCGGGTTGCGCCAGGACTCCAGCGCCCACTGCACGGACAGGCGGAACACCTCGTCCGTCTCCAGCACGTCGCGGATGTGGGTCCAGGGGCCGCCACCCCAGTTCTTGGCCTGCCCCGGGTGCCCCATGAGCACGGAGGCGACCACCTTGGGGTGCAGCGGGTTGGCCTCCAGGGCGCCCCAGGTGCGCAGGGCGGCGGTCACCATCTCGTCGGGGTGCGGCGGAGGAGGGGTGAGCGTCAGGGTGCCGCCCTCGGGTGGGATCTGTGCGGCGGGTGGGTTAAAAAAGTAATGAGACACTGACGATACAACTGACGAGCTGTATGACATGTAGGCTTCACAGGGGGTGCAAACATGGTAGTGGGGCGGTGGGGTTCGGTTGGGCAACATGGGGTCAGGGTGTGTGGGGTAGGGTAGAGTAGGGTAGGGTGCTTAGGAGTGGTGGCGGGCAGGGGCAGGGTCCATCCATGCTGCGTTTCATTCTCTCCCTCTCTCCCCCCGCACACACCTCCAGCTTCCAGTCCGGAGTGGCTCCGTGCATGGCGGTGCTGTCGCCCAGGTTGCGTCGCGGCTGCAGCAGCTCCAGACCGCGAGCGTGGCAGCGGGGCGCGTTGTACACGCGGATGGACCACCTGACAGGCAGCGCGGGGTACCAAAAAGAAGAGGCGGAGGTTGGGCGGGTGTCCTAGGCTAACGGCCTTTGCACCATATAATGTCTGCACTCCCGTACCGTAGGACAAACATCACTCACTTCCACGTGGCCAGCTGCCTCTCCATGATGCCGTACGCCCACGCCACACTGGCCTGCACCAGGTGCCTGCCCGGCACCCCCTCCGTGGCCGCCTTCCAGCCGCGGTAGTCCACCAGCGGCACCAGCGCCAGCACGCGGTCCTCAGCCAGGAAGGAGCGAGCGCTCTGGACCTGGAGGGGCAGCGGGAGGGGGAGGGGTTGAGGGAGAGTGGGTGCCACCTTCCTGCACATGCGCCACCATCCCCACCATCCAAACCCCAACACCGCTCCTCCTCCTCCTCCCTTTGCTTCCATTCGTTTCCCCGCCTTGCCTGGTGGTTATTGAGCAGCACGAACGCCTTCTTGGCCGCCGAGTCGGCCTTCTTGATGTCGTTGATGAGCCCGTTGCGGTCCATGGTGATCCACATGACGTCCTTGGACACCATGGCAAGGTAGCCGATGCCGTCGGAGGGGTGCTCGCGGAGGACCCTGTACGGCGGAGGGGCAGCAGGGGCAGGGGCGGTGGCAGGGGCAGGGACAAGCATGGAGGATGGCTTTCTATGGAAGCGCCGCAGGTGCAGGCCGCAAGCATATGTGCGGGGAGAGGGCAGGAAAGCTAGAGGCAGCATGAGGCAGCACAGGTACCAATACGCGCCAATGGCCAAACAACGATCTCACCCGCTCTCTCTGTGTGCTCTCCAAGCGGCGGATAGCAGCTGTAAACCCCCATCCGCGACCCTCCCTCCCCTCCTCTCCCCTTCCTTCCTTTGGTCTATCTTTGACCCTCCCTCCCCTCACCTGAGCAGCCCCGTGTAGTCTCCCTCGTAGTAGTCGTTCAGCGCCTCATCGGCGTACTTGAGGTACAGCGGGCCCAGCTTCGGGTGGCCGTTCCAGGCGTTGAACTCCGGCCAGTCCACCACGTAGATGCTCTGGTAGGAGTTGACCTCGCCGCTGCCCTTGAGCGGCCACACCACCAGGTTGCGCGCCGCCACCGCCTCCTGGATGGTCCACACGCGGCGCATGTACGAGTTGTTGACCAGCAGAGCCTTCACGGCGGAGCGACTCAGGAAGCCGGCGCCGCCTGGAAGGATGGGGAGGAGGGGGATTAATAGGGACACATATTCCGCATTAGGGAGGATAGTTGGGTTAGCGTAGGACTGGAGTTGTTACATGGATAGTAGCAGCAGTCAGTAACCTAGGAGGATGGGGACGGGAGGAGGAGCGAGAGGAAGATGAAGGTTGTACTATGCGTTCTTGCACGGTAAATTCATTCGCACTGCTCCGGGGATCCACGGAAATGCGGAGCACAACAACCCACGCTGGCTGACCCATGGGACGGAAACGACAGGGCAATCCACAAACTCACGGTGAGCGTTCATCTCGTCGTTGTACTGTCGTACGATGGCGCGAGCGTCCTGCAATGCGGGGCAGCGGTGGTAACCGTTCGGCAGGGTAACATGCAAAGAGGCCACAGGAGACTGCAGGCTCCCTGCCGCGAAGCCTATATGGCCTTTCCTGCTAACAAGAGTTGATCACCATACAGCCTGACTGTTAAAACCTGACCATTTCGCATTCGACATGCCGGTTGGCTTCTTGGACCCCAGACCCCGCACTACCGGTAGCGACCCACCCTTCGTCCCTCGCACCGCCGCATACCCACCTGGCTGTTCATGATGCGTCCGGAGGTGTAGTCCACCACGGGAGCAATCATGACGTACACCTTGCCGGCGGTGTAGATGGCGGGACTCTCCTTGATGTGGCCCATCTTCTCCTCCAGGTCGGCGTCCTGAAAAGGCAAAAGGCAGGGAAACAAAAGGATGAAGAAGGTGACTACCGTATGCAGCGGTAACGGGAGTTGAAGGAGTGGGGAAATGGTTTTCCCGACACGACCCAAATGCCTGCGCCCCTGGCGCGAATGGATCCGACCCATGCGGGGCATCGCGGGGCCCATCGCGATGCCGTCGTGACCCAACACCCGTTCATACCTGCGGAACGCACATCTGGTCCACCCACACGTACGTGGCCACCTTGTTGGTGTACAGCCACAGCAGCCAGGCGGCAACCTGCCAGGGGTGCGGCGAGAGCAGCCGGGAGGAACATGGGGGTAAACGCTGGGCGGACGCACATGGGTCGAGAAGGGATGTACTGAAGCAATCCGCCAACACGGATCCACCCGTCCGTGTGGGCAGCTGGACCCTGTTAGTATCTCTAGCAGTTTGCAGCGTTACGCTGCGTAACTGCTTACCTCGATTTGGATTGCGTGGCCGTCCGCCAGGGACCAGTCCACCTCAACAGGTCCGTCCCGAAGGTCGTGCACCGCGTAGCCTTCCCTGCCGCAGTCGGCAAGCCATGTCTTGAAGTCGCGGATGTTCTCGTTGCGGCCTCGTATGCGCCATCGGTACGAGAGCACAGCGGCATCCTACGGAATTTGGAGGAACGAAAAGCAAGACAACGAGCAAGTCACTACGGGCGGGAAGCGGTACGGGCAGGAATTGTAAGGACAGCAGCTTTGTATGATGCGACTTGATATGTGCAGCATGGAACCGTTGGCAAGGTTTTCGACAATTGCATGGAGCCAACCGTAGGCAAAGGTGCTCCAGAAGCAATCAATAAACGACCATCCGTTTTAGCCAAACATAACACATCGGCTGCTATTTAAAAGCGACACGTTCTATATAGGCTGGGTTCACTCTTCGATAATGTTTCCAACCGGCGGTCCACTACACACACCTGTTCAGGTTCTTGAGGGAACGCGCACCATTTCTTCTGCCATGCGTCCAGCTGATACACAGGCGGTGTTGGATTTTCCCCATCACGCAATTCTTGCAATATTGCGGGGATGTCTGCAACCCTTAGATACCTCGGCATTTTAAAGTGACCTGAGATTGATCGTTATATAGCTTTCGGCCGCTGTATTATAGATTACTGCGCGGAGACCCCTCATGCCCGCGGGATCGGGTGACTTTTGCGGAAAAGTCAGCCGTAAAAGTCATCTTCAAACACGGTGACTTTTACCCTTAGTAGCTTAACAGTAGATTGTTAGATATAGGCTAATAGTTGACTTTTAGGCTGCTTGTTTAGCGCTAATACGTTCACTTGTTCGTATGCATGCGTTGCCATCCACCACAACAACAACCTACATACCTCCAGCCTTATTCCTGTTGCCTCCTTTAAGCTTTTAATACGCTCAGCGGCCATTCATATCTCAGGTGTCGATAGGAAAGCGTAGGCCTAACCCCGGGGTCATTCAGCGAGTATTCCGTTGCATAAGCGAGCCTCCTACCTCCCCATTCCCTTGCCCGTGCGGCCGCCCTTCCACACGCGACGCCTGCCAGCCCCTGGCTTTCCCCGTCGCGGCACCTGACTCTTCATACCTCTCCTCGTGTGGCGCCCCTGCTGCTACCCTGCCTTTCCCGTGCTGTGCTTGCCTTCCAATGCCCTTTCCCGTGCATCTGCCCTTCCCCGTGCGGCCCTGTCTCCCCCTGTCATTGCCCGTTCCTCGAATTTACTGAACGGATGAACGGTCGCTACTATGTTCGTTTAATGGCTCTTCCTCGTGAAGCTTCTGTCCCCAAGTCCCCTCATTCCTGCACGCATATGCACCAGTTTAGGAGCACGGCAGGGCGCTGGCCTGGGTAATTCACTAGGACAGGGGGTGTCTGTATGCGCATGCATCCAACAGTTCGATAGTTGGGCGCGACTAGTGTGCGTACGACCATGGGCGCCGGTAGTTGGGCATGTATACAGGCATCGGCACTGATGCACGGGTGGGTGCGTGGGAATTGCCTGGTCGCAGGTGGTTGGGAGGGGCGGTCATGCTTGCGCTCGTGGGTGCCGGTTCCTGGCAGGACGAGAGGATGTCTGCACGCTTGAGCACAGACAGCTGGAAAGGGTGGGATGCATGCGCATGTGAGTGCCAATAACTAGTGCTGCTGCTCGCGGCGTGGATGTTCATGAAAGCTGTGTGGGCTATGTTCACATGGGGCTCATCATAAATATGCTGGGCACAGGGCCCTTCACATCGCGCTGCACGGAAAAAGGCATGGGAAGCAGAACTCGCGTGTAGGGAGGGCCAGGAGGACGATAGGCGCTGCACGGGAGGGAGGGTAAAAATAAGGAAAACTGACAAACTGGATGATGAGGCACGGGAGGGGGGGCAGGTGCAACGCAGGAAAGAACAGGGTTCAAGGCCGCATGTATATTGCTATGCGAACAGTGCCATACGTACTGTGACAGCCGGACGCGTCGTCAACAGTCGGATGTTCCGAGAGGCGGACGCTTCAATGAGGCAACACATACCCACGGATGGACATGCACGTGGACAAACTCCTCACCCCGCCAAACCATGGTGCATGTGCATACCTACTGCGTGATCGAGAGGCACGGGGGATGTGCGGTCCTTTTACCGCATGTTTGGCCACAGACGTTGGGCGTAAGGCGGTCATCAGCGTACATGGTGTCAGTTAGTCAGCAGCATGCAGCAGGGTGCATTGTGGTCGACATGTGGGTCTTTGGGCCCTCTGACGTTATAAGGGTTATAAGCCTGGACGTCCCAGACAGCACGCGTTGCAGCAGCGGCCAAGTGTTTAGCTAGCTATCAACGGTTCCCTTTGGCTATATGTAGCCGGCCGCGCTTTGGGTTTTTGCACATACATGTAAGCGCTGTGCCGCGCATGGTGATGGGTGGTGGATGGATACTTCGTTTTTGTGCGTGTGTGCTTCCATTTTGCCATCCAACAAAGGGGTTTCAACTTTACAAAGAAGGGTCTTTACCCTCCCATACAGCGCGTCAGCTCTTCCGGTGCTGAAAAGGCACGGGTACACATGTGGAGGCAGTATGACAAAAGCGCCCCTACCTCTGGTGTGGCAGAGAAGAAATGAGGGGTAAAGCACAGGGCAGGTCGAGCAGGTGAAGCATCGGGAAGGGCGCGGGGAGGCAGGCGCCACACGGGGAAGGGCATAGAAGTCCCTCAGAGGGCCGCAGCGGCACCATACGGAGGAGGGCATTGACACTGGCGCCGACGGGGCCCACGGGGAAGGGCATGGGAATCCCACGGGAGAACAAGCGGTATTGCGCAGGGGCAGGCACACAGGTAGGCTGGGGCCGTGCAGAGACGGGTCTAAGGACGCAAGCGCCGCACAGGGAAGGGCAGGGAGGGGCAGGTGCTGCACATAAACGGGCGTCGGGAGGCAGGCCTCGGGCTGGCAACGTCATGGAGAGGCAGGCACGGTACGGGGAAGGGCATAGGGAGTTGGGAACCCAACCAGGGGCCGCGAAGCGCATGGGAAGGCAAACGCCGCGCATAGAAGGCATGACGGTGGTAGGCACAGAACTGGCGGGGAAGCGGCAAGGGAGGCAGGGGCTGCACGAGGGGAAGGCAGGCGTTGCACGGGGACAGATAAGAGTAGCACCCGTTCCCGCCTCCCCAACATCCATGGCCCCGCGGTATGATTCACAGTTGTTAGGTTACATGACCTATCCTTTGGACGTGGGCATTTAGTCGCTGAAGGACCCCGGGGCTAGCCTGCGCTTTCCTATCGACACCTGCCATATGTAGTGGTCGATGAGCGTGTAAAAGCTTAAAGGTGAGTAAGGCTGGATGTTTGCAGGTTGCTGTGGTGGTGGGTGGCTTCGCATGCATAAAAAAAAGTAACGTGTTAGCTCAGGAGCTGCGAAGTAAGCAGCCTAGAAGTCAACTATTAGCCTATATCTAGCAATCTACTGTTAAGCTACTAAGGGTAAAAGTCACCGCGTTTGTAGATGACTTTTACGGCTGACTTTTCCGCAAAAGTCACCCGATCCCGCGGGCGTGGGGCCTGTGCTGCGCGAGATGCGTAGCGTTAAGTAACGGGCAGTTCGTACAGCTTGAATCCGTGTCGTAGCACAAAGGTACAACCCAAACTTCAAGTGCACATGCATACATATATCGCACAACTTTTACATGAACCCTGCATGAACTGCTAAAAATAGGGTGATCAGAAGCCGGCTCGACGGTTGGCACGTGCTGGCCACGCTTGCTAGCATGCAGTACCCCCATCTTGCTGGGTACCTGTCGATCACCATCGCCATATGGTTAATTGCAGCAGTGCCCCCGCCAAAAGGTGGAAAGACGGCAAGACGGGCAAGTCATGCAAGTCGTTTACATGGGCAATGCCAACGGTACGCGGTGGTACCGTGTGGCCAACTGCTCTGCATTGGACCGCATACGACGATATGAGGCGTCACCCGACAGAGTATAGGCCAGGTCAGGTCCAGCGCACGGGACTTACCCTAGCCCACACACTGCCAGGGGGACTGTGCGTACTAGGCACTTACCCTAGCCCACTCACTGCCAGCGGGACTGTTACTAGGTGCCCTTACGACCTTACGACCACGCGGTAGTGTACTTGACGCGGCCCTCCAAGTGTTACTAAATGTGCAAAACGGTGTTTAGGGGCAAACCGGCCGGCCAGCCGGCCGGCAGCTGCTTCCTACACTGCTCGCCTTGCCGGAGTACCAGCAGCAAAAAATACAGTAAGGACAGAACCGACACGTGTGTCCACACTCCGTTAGGCACGCAGTTTTATTTGCTGTGTTTGCTGAGGATTAACAAGATGGAACTATATCCCCTCCTAAGCAACTACCAAACAAGACACACCAGCTCACACCTCTACGCATGTCCTAATACTCTGAAAGGCGGATGACCTGCAGCCACTACCCTGTACTTCCCCTCCCGCAGGACCCTACCTCCCACAGCCGCGAGCCCTGCACCCCTCTTGCTCAGCCCACGCTGCTATTACTCCGCAAATTCCTCCCAGGCGCACTCTGCTCATCCCTGGGACAATGCCGATGCACTAAAAGCACCCTCGCACCCTCTCCGCAGCACCTCTCCTGCTTACAAGGCTTTGCCCTGTACCCTATACTAAACCGCGCCGCGCCTGCTCTACCGGCGCCAAAGTGCCAACCTTTTGCCCGCACTCCTGCTCCGCTCTGCACGTCTCCTACTCAGCTCATCGTCTCATACTCGGCCTCAACCTGCTCAATAATGTGCTCGGGGTCTCCGCCCCTCTCTCGCAGCGCCTGCGCCAGCAGCTGCACCTTGCTGCTCTCCTGCCCCAGACACAGCAGCAGCTCGTCCAGCTGCGACCGTAGCTCCTGTGCCTCCCTGACAGCCGCCTCCGCAGCAGCCGCCGCCGTGAGCTCATCAGGCGCGGTGGAGGACAACACCTGCTCATCATACTCTCCTCGCGTGTGTCTTGCACTACTGACCTCGCCCCTGCCCGCCGCAGCAGCCCTTGCATCCGTCTCCAGCAAATCACTCTTCCCATGCCCATGCAACGCCATCCTCTCCAGCTGCTGCGCTACTGCCTTGTGTTGCGCCCGCTCCTGCGCCAGCTGCTGAGCTAGGCTGCCCCGCTCCGCTCGCAGCACCGCGAACCTCCGCCGCAGCGCGGTGTGCCTGTACAGCAGCGCGGCGACGTCCCGAGCCATGGCTACCTGGCCCGAACATGCAGCCGAGAGGCGCCCCTGCAGCGTCGTACAACCTGGCCGTACCCGCACAGGCAGCGCCACCAGCACCTTCTTCTGGGACTTCTTCCGTTGCCGTAGTAGCGGTGGGTGTCCGCTGCGCAGCAGTTGCCCAGCCGTGCGCGCAGCACTAGCAGCCGACAGAGCACCAGCGATAGGGGCAGGTTTCGCGGTAGGGGTGCCGTGTGATGAGGTCCTGGTAGCTGCTGTAGCGCGGCAAGCGCCACCTGAAACGCAAAGCTGGGATAGGGAACCAGCTGCGACGGGGCTGGATGCCTCTGCGACGGCCATGGAGAGGTGACGCTGTTCATCTGCTGCCGTGCGTGTGTTTGGTAGCTGGTCAGCTGCGGCGGAGCCTGTGTCTGGCAGCTCCAACACGTCCCCCGCGAGCCCAGGTCCACGGTCACGCGCCTTGGTGAGTTGCAGGGCGGCGTCGAGCTGTAAGGTGCGTGGCTCCAGACCATCAGCTCGTTGCTGATCCACAACACGACTGTCGTCGCTGCTACCGCGGCTGCCGTCCTTGACAACATGCATGCCTGCAATGCCCTTGTTGCCGCTGCCGACGTCGTCGGCGCCGCTTTTGTTGCAGCGTTTATCAACTGGTGGCCCTGATCCAGCCGCGCTACGGCCGCGGCCCGGTGCTTGGGGCAGCAGCCCAATGCCTGCGAGCGCCTGGGCCGCCTGGGCTATGGATGCGCTTAGGCTCCCACCAGCCGCCACCTCAGCAGCAGCGGTGTGGGTGCCGCCGCAGCTGCTGCCGCCATTCCCGCTAGCAGGGCGACCTCCCGGGCCCTCGTCCTCCTGCGCGCTGTGTCGTCCAGGAGCTGCTCCCGCCAGAAGCAGGGAGCCGCGCAGCTGCTTGAGGACCTGCAGAGCCGAGTCCACGGCGGCCGGGTCCACATTGCGGCCGCTGCTGGTGTTGCTATTGAAGCTGCCGCCTGGTGCCGCCTTGCACCCCGGCAGGCGCATGGATGCAGTGCTGCTCCTCGTGGTGGGCTGCGTGGCACCCTGCTGCGTGGCATTCTTGGACAAGGGTGGATCATGCGATGGTACGGTGTCGTCGGCGGCTAGAGGCTGGCTTGCGGCTGCGCTCTGCATGTGGGTCGCCGCCGTCTTGCCAGAGCGCCAGCCAGCGCCCAGCTTCGGGGTTGGCGCCGGCTCTACCATCCGGGGTGCAAAGGTAAAAGAGAACTCCTCGCATGCAGGAAAGGACAGACCAGACCCAGTTCCAGTTGGGTTGCTGCAGGCTTGGGTCTCGAGGGATTCCTGGCCTTGGAGGCTGCCAGCAACCCGCGCCTGCTCGGCCTGGTGTGGCTGTTGCTCCCGCTCCCAGCCTTCCGCCGTGTCCCCGAGCCCGCAGCATGGCAGGTCGGAGAACGACAGCGACATGGATGAGAAGCGGCTCAGAGCGCAGAAGTCCCCACTCCCACCTATTGCATCATCTGCGCCGCGGGTGGCAGCTCCGGAAACCTCCTGCGCGGCCGCCTCAAGGATGTCGGCGTCGGGCACCGCTGACGCCAAGGCCTCGAAGTACTCCACAACGGCCCCTTCTTGCAGCACCACTGTCGCCGGTGAAGCGAGAGACGGCCCATTTTCCTTCAAGTCGTCCTCAGCCATGCCCATACCACCAACTGTCGTTCCTGCCGCAGTAAAACCGGCTGCTGCTGCTGCTGTCGCATGCTGCACACTCACGCCATAGTTGACCGCCACCTGTGCAGCCCCCACCCTGCTGTCGCCGCTGCCAACAAAACCAAGCACATCCTCCAGCCTCTTGCCGCCGCTGCTGCTGCCCTCCACCGCTCCCATCCAGATGCGCTCATCCACAAACCCGTGCACCGCAGCAGCTACCCCGGCGGCGCCACCCTGCTCCTCGGCTGCAGCCGGGGCCTCAAGCGAGGTGCTCGCAGTCACCCTGACGCCACCGCACTGCTGGTGCGGACCTGATGCGGACACGAACCGCTCAGCCAGGGCGCCCTCTAACAGGGCAAACGACCCCTGCGAATCCTGCGAGCTGGGCGACGAGACATCCTGCGAACAATCCTCCGCTTTTCCATCCTCACCCGAGCCGGCCTCACTGCTCCTCTTGCTGCTGCTAGCGCTGTGGGTGCTGGCGCTACTGCTGCTGCTGCTGTTACGGCTGCTCGCGGCGGAGCTCCCGAAGGATGTGGCGCTGTCGCTGCGGGTGGAGGCGGTGCTGCTGCTGCTGCTGCCGGCGCTCCCCGCGCTGCACTCTGAGGAGGCGCTGGGCGGGCCCGAGGACGGTAGGGAGTCGTAGTCGACACAGGAAAAGGTAGCGAGGTGCATGCCTGAATTGTCGTGGAACGGCAGCACCAGCGGCGGTGGTGGAAAGGGAACGCTTGGGGGGGAGGTGTGCGGTTGTGTGACTTGGCCGTGGCTGCCAGCGGTGCTTTTGGAGACGCGCAGGTTGTCCTGCAGCTTGTAGCGTTCAGCAAGCGACCGCCTGCGTAGCAAGTCAGAAACACCCACGTGCACCGTTAATTTTGCCTGCAGGATTCTTCCGCCCTAGTCACACGGTTCTTGCCTAGACTGGTCCTCGGGGTGCGACAGGTAAGCAGTTGCCCAACTCACTTCTTAGGCGTTGCGCCTCCGAGACCGCAGTTTGTCATCGGTGGGGGCGGCAGCTCCGATTCCTTTGCAGCTTCACCTTCCTTACCGCGCTCTACCCATCGTTGCAACTGCGCGCACAAGTATGACTTCGGTTAATGGCATAGGATGTTGTTGACGCTTTAGCTTCGCAGCACCTACAAGCTTCCAGGAACCTACTTAGGCGGCTTCGTTACCGACCTTGGGATGGTAGTAAAAGGCATTGTCCTCTCCAAAGCTGCCTTTCTTCCGGGCTCCTATCGCTGCCTGTCGACGTGTCCAATCCAAGGAATCCGATGCAGGATAAGCCAGACAGCGTAAGGCGTTCTTAACCAACAAAGTACTAGAAAGGTTTGGCGTATTTGACATGACACATACCTGGATGCCCCCGAACAGCTTATTTAAAACCGACTTCTCTTTCAGCTGCCCTTCGCCTGAAGAGAGCATAGTTTTTGACTAGGTTCGGTTTTGAACTAAAAGCATCGATACCGTGATTAAGGAGACGGTCTTATCGCATGAAGTTAAAAAGTCGCGATGTACGTGTAGAAGGAATGATGGAAAGACTTCTATATATTAAGGTAATATATGTACAGATGCTGGTTGACCAAGAAGCTTTAGGCCCATAATTGGGTACAGCGCCCCTACCCCCTAAGGGAGTCTGAGGTCGTACAGGGCTCCCTGGCAGCGTGCTGCGCTTCCATTCTCTATCTTTTAACTCAAAACAAGTTCTTGGTATCACCCTTTTACTCTGGGAATTCCAATATCCCTTTAAATGTAAGCGTCAGGGACTTTCTGTGCATTACAGTGTCAACCTACAGAAAATGTAGCAAGCTTGATTTGTTGATCTACTTTAGTTCTAATTTGATAACGCTACTTATGGCTTGTGCCACAGGCGGTAAAGTCTTGATGGTTGTGCGAAAATGAAGGGCGATGGCAGCAGTGGATGCGACGGCTCTTCGGCAGCAGCAGCCACAGGAGCTGAGTCGCCCAAGGTATGTTTCGTGCCACGTTGTCCTGAAGTTAATTGATAGTATTAAGCTGTTTGCGATTCCCTGTATACTTGCTGTCTCACATCTGTGCATCTGTGCACACTAGCAATATGTGCTGACCTCTTGTGCTTGCCACGTGTATCCATAGGCAACGATCCTCCCGTTCCCTTCCCCTTTCTTGCCGGTACTAGGACTAAAGCGTCTGCAGGGATATAGATATTACGAACCCCAGCACCACCGTCAGTCCCGTCCTGCCTATCACTAGAATCCCCTTGACGCCTCCGCTTGACACTAATCGCAGCGTTCCTTCTATACACGCGTTTAGCATGGGTACATCGTTCGTTACTTACACCTTGCGTGCGTACCGCGTCAGCTGGAACAAGCTCCTCATGCATATTTACATACGTAACACCCTGCTGCTGTGCTGTGTCTTGCGCCACATTAGCCCCTGCTGTGCCCGCTCCCTGACCACTTGGCCCCGCAGCTGCTGCATCAGAGCGGGCTTCACCTCCTGCAGCAGCAGCGCTGCGCTGGGTAACCCAAGCTGCCCACGCAGACATAGCATTAACAACTGCCTTTACATCTTCAGCTGATAGGTTGCTAGCCCCCGATAGCGCTGCGTGGATGATCACGAGCGGCGTCGAAACGATACCAGCCAAAGCCAGCACCTCAATGTTTTTATGATGCAGCAGGAGACGCAGCTGGCATACGCAAAGCCGCCGGCCCTCTGTAGCGGTCTTTGGACTCGACAAGAGACCGCAAGGCTTCAGCCTCCCTCCGTCCAGCAGCAAGCGTGGCTGACATACGTTCCGTGGGTGGCCTCCGGCCTGCTGCGAATGCTCTGCGGATGGTAGCCTTGAGCGAATCAACTGATAGGCGAGAGGCAACCTCTCGAACCACCTCCTCCACAGGCCTGCTTTCAGCTGCTGTTTGGCTAGAGCCCTGTCTCTATTGGCTCCATACCCTTGCCTTGCAAGCTGTCGGACGTTGGGGTTGAGGTACCATGCCACTGCTTGTATACGTCTGCCGCAACAGAGTGCACGCAGGCGTTATGTGCCACAAACATATGGCAAGTGCTGCTGAACACTCCAGCACGGATGGAGACAACAGCGCGTACTGGGCACGGATTAAGTTTACGTTTCTGAGTTTCAGGCACCAACTGCATGGCTGCTGACAAAACATCCTCGCATGAAGTCAAGGACTTGAATATGAACGCCTCTGATGAGTAGGATGGGGCTGGGTCGGATGCAGGCACAGCGTATGCACCTGTTGGTAAGTCCTGCTCGGCTGCTGCCTGATGCCCTGGGTTTTGCCGTGGCCCTGGCTTCATTGCACGTCTCCTGCCCCCTCTGCTTGAAAGTTGCACACAAGGTGCTGGCGGCAGCTGAGAGCTGGGTGCTGCACCGCCCGCCGCTGTAGCAGATGGCGGTGTGCACTTGGAGGGGGCTCAAGGGTAGGGCTAGAGGCATGTGTGGGAGGGGGGCCCGGAATCGTGATTTCAGGTCAGCACATATTTGGGAAGTACTCTATAAGACAAGAACGGGGATGTTTTTATCATGCCCAGGTTCATTCGGGTTGTGACGCTACACGCGACGGAAAAAGCGGGTATGCACTTGGAGGGGGCTCAAGGGTAGGGCTAGAGGCATGTGTGGGAAGGGGGTCCGGAATCGTGATTTCAGGTCAGCACATATTTGGGAAGTACTCTTTAAGACAAGAACGAGGGTGTTTTTACCATGCCCAGGTTCATTCGGGTTGTGATGCTACACGCGACGGAAAAATCGGGTATGCACTTGGAGGGGGCTCAAGGGTAGGGCTAGAGGCATGTGTGGGAGGGGGGTCCGGAATCGTGATTTCAGGTCAGCACATATTTGGGAAGTACTCTTTAAGACAAGAACGAGGGTGTTTTTACCATGCCCAGGTTCATTCGGGTTGTGATGCTACACGCGACGGAAAAATCGGGTATGCACTTGGAGGGGGCTCAAGGGTAGGGCTAGAGGCATGTGTGGGAGGGGGGCCCGGAATCGTGATTTCAGGTAAGCACATATTTGGGAAGTACTCTTTAAGACAAGAACGAGGGTGTTTTTACCATGCCCAGGTTCATTCGGGTTGTGATGCTACACGCGACGGAAAAATCGGGTATGCACTTGGAGGGGGCTCAAGGGTAGGGCTAGAGGCATGTGTGGGAGGGGGGCCCGGAATCGTGATTTCAGGTAAGCACATATTTCGGAAGTACTCTTTAAGACAAGAACGAGGGTGTTTTTACCATGCCCAGATTCATAACCGCCGCTGCCATCTGACCCGAGAGCAGCGCGAAGGAATGCTTCGGCTTCATTGTCGGAGTGTTCAGCTACTAGGAGACCTACACTAACACCTGAATCACTCATGTTTAGTTACATGTTAATGCATAAGGTTAAGGACAACTGTTTATGTTAAGCCTTGTGCTGGGTCGATTGCGAGGTGAATACCACATGGGCTGCACTTAGATAGAAATATGTGGCATATATAATTGCATTCTTTCTAAGATGTTTCATAGCACGCTTCTGAGCACAGCGAGCACAGCACGCTGCCAGGAGGCCCTGTACGACCTCAGACTCCCTTAGGGGGTACGAGCACTCTTGCCCATAATTGAGAGGCATGTTCGTCCAGCACGCGACGGGTGTACGACGTTTGCAAAGCTGGAACTCCTCCCCGCTCTTTTACTGACACTGTTTATTTCTCGGGCTCGCAGGGTTGCCGAGCTTGAAATGATCCAGCAGCAAGGGGTGCCTGTCGGTGGTAGCCTGGACCACCGGGGTAGCCGGTACGGTAGTCCTAATTGCGGCGGGCTGCGTAGCGGCAGTGGAATGGTTGGTGGGGCATGGCTGTCCCATACGTACGGAGTTCTGGTTGGGGCCATAACTCAGTTCCTCTCAGCCTCTCAGTTCTTATATGTTAAGGTTTGTGGGCGTGTGATTGCTCCTTTAAGACTGGAAGATGCGACGCTGCATGGGCGGGGTGGTGATAACTTGTTAAAGGGGGCCGCATTTCACCTCATTCCGAAGGGGTTTGCGCTTCTTCGGAGTTGGCTGGTCTCGAATGTTAATCTCTCTCCTTCCTGCTCATAAGTCATAACTTGCCACACGTAACCTGCATGTGTGTCCTGGCATCGTGACTGCCAGTACATGCCCCCATCCCGCTCTGCTCTAAATACATTCACTTTGGCCGATAACATGATGGCCTCCCAGATCCCCACAGCAGGGCGGTATATCGTACATCAAAGCTGCACACTAGGCCGCCTGCTGCACATGCTTCACTGCGTGCGGCTGCTGCGCTGTGCCCCTGACGGCGGGGCCATCTTGCAGGCGACCGCAACCCCCGACATCACACTCCGCTGCAAGCGCCAGGATTTCCAGAGCGCGCATCTGTACGGTAATCACCAACCCTTCCAAACACAATCCGGCGCACTAGACTGCGCCGTCCTCCGGCTTGTTCAGGAATGCACACGTCATTCTGCAACTCCCTCCAGGTATACCAGCGTATACCATTTCTTACCGGTAGTGCTCAACAATCATTCAGCTACGGGCCGCTTCCCAGTACCAGTGAGGTTAACATGTGGCAACATCCCGGCGGGTTACAGACAATCCAGCGCGTCCCGGTGCCAGCCCGGCGGGTTACAGACAATCCAGCGCGTCCCGGTGCCAGCCCCAGTTCACCACCAAGACACGCCAACAAGAAGCTGTCAACGTTAAGCTGCGGCAATGTGCTTGCCGTACATGGCAGCACGTGTCCACAGCGAGTGCCCCGCGCGGCATAACAGACAACGGCACTTGATCGGGGTAATGGGCTACAGGCTCAGCGACCACCAGTCGTGCAAAAAGCCACAGCGTACGTTTGCACACACGCCATCACATGGAACCGCCCACGGGGCACATTAGGATGGCCATGACAGCACGGCTACAAGAACCAGGTGCCGCAACCTGATGCGACAGAAGGCAATGCAACTAAACGAGGCGAAGTAGAACATGCAGCGCCCGGGAACTTTCGCCTACATTGCCTTAGGCGGCCATGCCTTCGCTTGTCCCCTGCTGCTCCGGCTCCTGTGTCGTCTCCCCCTTGCCGCCTCCCCTTCTCCGCAGCAGCCGCAGCAGCAGCCACCCAGCAGTGGCTAGTACCGCTAGGCCTGGCACTACTTTCGAGGTGGTCTTGTAGACCCGCAGCTGACGCTGAAGCGCCTGTACTTGCGAGCGAGAAGACTTCAGCTCTGCTCTAAGAGCATCAATCTTCTTCCGGTGGGACTTCTGGTAGTTGATGACGGTTTTGGTGCACTGCGTTCGCGGCAATTGAACGGGATTCAGCCCGATTGTCCGGCCCAACTGCCGAATACCGTGGGTTATTTTCGGAGCGAGTGCGACAGACGTGCTCCTTACTTGTGATTTGACGAGCTCGCAACGAGGGCACGGAGGCGGCGCAGCGCTTGGGCGAGCTGCAACCTCCGGCTCCTTAGCTCCCGACGGGTCCGGCCGCTTACCACCGGAATTCATTTTGATGTGTTACTTTCGAGATTTGCAAGAGCCCTAGGGATTAAGAAATGTTTATAGATAGACCGAAGCTGCCGTCGTCGCGTTTGCTGGCCTCTAAACTTAGGATTGATAATGACAGTAGTTTAGCCAGCTAGCGTTGTACACTAAGTAGGGGTGTTTCTATGGGCTTAGGTTTGGTTTCGGACCGAACCTAAGCCAACCTAAGGGAATCTCGTCCCATGCTCGTCCCACCAATACTTAGCTAAGTTGCTGCTAAGTTGCTAAGTGGGGTGACCCCGCTTAGCAACTTAGCAGCAACTTAGCACCGGCTTAGGGTGGAGCGAGTGGAGCGAGTGGAGCCAGCGGGCCCTACTCATTGAGCCTGCAGACCTTCGCATACAGACAAACAGTAAGGGATACTAAGCAAGATGGCAAGGTTGTATAATCGGCATTTTTCGGACCTTGTTTTTGATTGTAAAATGCCCAAGAAAGCAAAATCAACTCCTCAATTGTCAACTTGAAAATGCGTGAAGAATCCTTCATTCCTTTCATAGAGGCTACATTTACCCGAAAGGAAGCACCGTACCTCCCGTCAGTTGCCACATGTATGGCACATTTGCGTGTCTTGTTACGGGTAGGAATCTCCAGTTAGCCAGCTCCACTATCACCCCTTGTAACAGAGCCGGTCGAGGGTCATCTAACCTATGGTTGTCTTCCACCACACCCCTAGCGTGGTCCTCACAAGCGATATGTGCCTTGCGCTTTCTTAAATTGTAAGGTCCCACGGGCCCCTGACAGCAGCAGCTTTGTCCACTGGCAACCCAGGCCCTTGCAGGGGTCATCCATTCTCTGCGAAGGTATCTTATGGCAGAACCTAGGCTTTCCCGTCCATGTGCTTTCTAGTTCCAACATGCATCCCCACATGGCTGTCACGCAACATGTCCTGTTGTCCCCGTTCACGTGCTATGGGTTGTTCTTTTGCCCGAGGTAATGTAAATTATACCCTTTCCTAACCATCAGGGCCGCAAACGGAAATCCACCCCTGCATCATCTTCTCGCGAGCGCCCCTTTTCTTCCAAACGTGTTGGCTTAATAAACAGTGATTACCCTATCCTGTAAGGATAAATGAATATGGTGTTAACATAAGGCTGGTTTCACCGTGGTTCCTGAAGTCCATAGAAACAGGTCACTTAGGAACACTTAGGAGCGCTTAGCGTACGACTTAGGTTTGCTTAGGTTGGCTTAGGTTTGGTTTCGGACCGCGCCCATAGAAACACCCCTAGTGCGTTCTTCTCAACGTATTAGTAAACGCGAGAGGAGCCTTCCTTCTGCCGTACATACAGGCGCCAACTCGATTTCACGGCATAGGTACCCGGCACGTAACTAGAAGCTTTGCACGGAGCCAACCTACCGGTCGTGGAGGTAGGGAAGTGGTGGAGACATATAGGAGCATACTTGCACAAGCGGATTCTGCCCGGATGGCTGCGGATGGCTACACTGAACTTCAGCTTAAGCCAGTGTCCACTGCGGTATTTCACGGCAACACTCATGGTACTGATCCTCAAGCAGCACGGCAACATTAAGTACAGCGGCCTCAGAGAGTCTTGGCGTAGGGGAAGGTCGTAGGGGTAGTAAGGGGAAGTAGTCCTCATGGGTTGCATGGCGTGCTGCACGAAGACTCCTTACCGTACGAGAGCTGGGGGCCTGGGGCCTTGGCTCGAACACTGCATGCTGCTCGATGCCCACCCTCCTAGCAATCCTTATACTGGGTGGCCCACGGCCGCAACTCCAATCGGTCCTCCAGCGACCAGACCCAGGGCATGCAACACGGAGACGAGCAAGTATGACCCAAGGATGCATCCTCGTATGCGTAGCGCACTAAGCAATGCGTCTAGAGGCGGCACGACGGCAGGTAAAAGCATGAGGGAAGCCTTTGTGGCCAGGAGCGCTGACCTATGCCGTGTAAGGGTCAAGAGGAAAGCTCTGACGCAAGGAGGGTAGCGATGGGCTTTAGTCTCAGGCATCACAGCTAGGCCCTGCATAGCGGAGCGGAAGGGCCTGGCCAGCAGAAACCGTGACCGTGACCATAACAGCAAAGCAGACAGGGTGGCAGAACCATATTGAATGTGGACAAGACCTCTCTAACAAAATATTCCACCGCGACGTATTGCAAGGTTAAGGAGGAGGTGTCGATGGTACCGACCAGCAGCCAAACACTGAAGAGAGGACCTAACAACGCACACATACACGCGCTATCTTGTCCGCAGTAATAACTCGTTAGTGCTGAAATAATGGCGTTTACACAGGTAAGGAGTTCGGAAGCTAAGTGCCCTTGGCTCTTTGGAAATTAGCTAAATACTATAAGTTGCTTCTGTGAATGTTCTACTATTGTAAGTGCAAAGTAGCTCAAAGAGCAGGGGGAACGGGTGAAGCAAAAGCGCATAGGGCCCACTGGCTGATCTCGATCCCTGAAACCTCCCTGAAAGCGAGCAGGCTCGGCAGCGACTGTTGCGCGCCGGTGTTGTGACAAGCATACCCACTAATTGTTTACCTTAGCAAACATGGCCATCGCAATGCGCATCCAGGCGCCTACTGCCTCCCGCGTTCAGTCTGCTTCGCGCGTCATCGCCGTCCGCCCGGCTCGCCGCTGCGTGGTGGTGCGCGCTGAGGAGGTCGCTGCCCCAGCTGCTCCCAAGGCTGCTGAGAAGCCTGCTTGGACTGTGCCTACGCTCAACCCCGACACTCCCAGCCCAATCTTCGGTGGCAGCACCGGCGGTCTGCTCCGCAAGGCGCAGACGGAGGAGTTCTACGTTATCACCTGGGAGGCTAAGAAGGAGCAGATTTTTGAGATGCCTACTGGTGGTGCCGCTATTATGCGCCAGGGCCCTAACCTGCTGAAGTTCGCCAAGAAGGAGCAGTGCCTCGCTCTGACGACCCAGCTCCGCACCAAGTTCAAGCTGACCCCCTGCTTCTACCGCGTTTTCCCCGATGGCAAGGTGCAGTACCTGCACCCTGCTGATGGCGTTTACCCCGAGAAGGTCAACGCTGGCCGCGTCGGTGTGAACCAGAACATGCGCCGCATCGGCCAGAACGTGAACCCCATTAAGGTCAAGTTCTCTGGCCGCATGATGTACCCCGCCGAGATTTGAGCTTCTGGCAGCAGCTGGAGTTTCTGTACAGAGAGAAGAGCTTTTTTCAGTTGTAGGGCGCGGCTTGGTCAGGAAGCGATGTTGATGCTTGCAGCGTCTTTTCGCGCCAGGCTGGGCTAGCGCACAGTGGTAGCCCGGGATGTGCGGGGATAGTCTAGGGCTAGCAAACCACGTCCAATTTATTGCGAGGGACATGTCGGTTGTGCGCAACCCCGCAGTTTTGATGCCGACTTGTTGTGTGGTCATTTGACGAGTGGATTCTATAGCAACCGGAATTCGCGAGACCCTATCGACAGTTGTATGCAGTTATCCCCAATTAGGGCGACCCATCATGCATGTAAGGTGGCTGGTTGCGTCTGTGTCCATGCCCCAATGGGGAAGGGGGGCTTTCTTTGGGGGAACAGCGGAAAGGGGGGTTGGTAGGCAAGCGCTTTATGAAGACGCCAGCTGGGATAGGCCTTGGGTATGGGCCGGATATGTCAACAAAGGTTCTTATTCCAGCCCAGGTCCTGCAACCTCAGCAGGGCAGCCGACAGCATCAACCAATGCAGCATCCTCTCAGCCGGGACGCTTCGAACCTGGTGCATATCCCACAGGCTCCACGCAGGTGGTGCGGCAGTTCTGTGCCCCCTGCGTTAGAGATGGCTTACAATATGGGAATGATATTACGACAATTTGACGCTATGCAGCCAAAAAGCGGGGACTTCTTGCTGCATAGGTAGGGGTTGCAAACTTGCAATGCTAGGGGGAAAGGGAAACGAAGAATAGGAAGGCACTAACATAGGCTAGAGGCTTTGCGCTGTGGCTGCCCGGCTAGTTGCTGCGGAAGCCAATGAGCCATAGGTTAGGGGCCATGCCACCTAACCCAGGTATGTGCATGACACGGCATGGGGGCTCGAGAACATAGCACGGCTCTTACGGTCCTTACTAGGCATGGTCATATGCCTCGCACACTGCGCAGCCCCCAGGCTGCAGGTAGCCCCCTTGCACCTACGGAACGATCCGCGCGCATGCAGGCTGCTGCGCTGCCCTCCCATTGCTGCTTGGCCCCTCCCTACCAGACGACTCACAAGTGCCTCCTCGCTGTAGGCCCACGCTCCCCCCCCCTGCTCGGCTCTCCCCTTCCCCATGCAAACGTTATTGGGAACTCAGGCATCTTCTTCTATATCACCCTTCTCCCACCCCCGTGCCGATCTTCCTCTATACCACCCTTCCCCCACCCCCGTGCCGCCTAACCCCGCCGCACTCCTCTCCAACCAGCGCCGCTCCCCGACCTGCTGCACGCGTTCAGGCTCGGCGGGTGCCCTTGGCAGCAGCAGCAGCAGCAGCGGAGGGGATCAGCGGCTGCTTGCGTGCTGCGGACGCCACAGGGGTAGGGTCAGAGCCGGTACGCTACCAGGCGCTCGCTCCCCCCGCCCGCACTAGACTTCCTCTACCCACCCCACCCCACCAGCCGTTCAAAGGCCCCTCTGATGTCCGTCCTTCCGGCCCTCCAAAACGGCAATCGTTACCCTCGTTTAGCTTCCCTCTTAGCTTCAACACCCCCCCAGGTGTGCCCTTTGACCCAGTTACGAACCCTGCATTCTTCCTCGCCCACTCTGTAACCTGCTCCCTACCCAACATGGTTCCAGCTCCACTGTCCCCCCTGGGCTTCCTCCGCCACTCTTTCCCCCCTCTGTCCAGCCTGCCCTCATGCACCGACCCGAGGGTGGGGGTGTAGGGGCTGCAAGGCAGCGGCACACACAGCTCGCACACCTGACCCGCTCCCACCCATGCGCCCACGTGCTCCAATTAGGTCAGCAGCGCAGAGCTGCTGTGGCTAAGCAGCCTCCCGGAATCCACGTTTCCTTTGGGCAGCGCCAAGACCCCCAAGCCGGCAGGATACTAGCGAAATACTATGAATCTTCAGTAAGTGTTGAAACAGCAAAGGAGGCAAACACATGTTGGAGGCGCAGCGAAGAGTAAACATTCAAGGCAGAGCGGCAAAGGAGCTTAACGGGAAATTTGGGCGACTTCTCGTCCGATCGCAGTCCTCAAAGGTTATGATAGAATGTATAGATACTGTAAAGTTTGCGTCCACCCCATGCAAGCGGGCGGCCATTCGTACGAGTGGAGCAAGCGCCACGCAGGGTGCTTTGCAATGCGCCCTACAAACGCTATGTATTGCATAAACGTTTGTACTTCACACTGGTATTCGGTTGCTGAATTACTCCTCCTCGCGAGCGTCAGCGACCACAAAACGCGTACGGCCATTAATGCCCGAGCTCTGATAGCGTTAGCGCGACTGCAGCATCGTTGCCACTAGCGGCTCCACGGCCAACGATGCGGACGTCAGCGCAGCTGTTTGAGCTTGGCAAACGCCAACTGCTTCGCACTCCACGTGCATTCTCAGCACCGCAGGAGTCATGCCGGACGCGCGCGCTGGGGCCATGCTGCAGCACCGCTGCTGCTGCATCCGTGGCCACAGCAGCAGAGCCCCAGCAGTTGGAGCAGTCTGAGAAGGCCACCGGGGCGAAGGTGGCGCAGCGGTAAGGGGGCCAGCAGGGGGAAACACCCGCCCGACTGGGGGGTGACATGGGGGAGTGTGAGCAGTGAACCTCACTTTGGGGGGCGGTGGTCGGCTTGGGTTGGATCCAGGTGCTGGACGGTATTAGGGTGCCGCTGGTGAACCGGGGAGCCGGCTAGGAAGGGTTGAAGTGGTGGGTGGGGCAGGGGTGGTGAGGTGGGGATGTGGGTGGACTGCATGGGCGGTGCCAGACTCCGGCATGCCCCCCCCGCTCCCACCATGCCACGAGTTGCCTCCCCACCCGCCTCCCCTCACCTCAACCGCCTCTCCCCCCTCCTTCCTTCCCCCCTACCCGCCTTCAACCGCCTCTCCCTCCCTCCTTCCTTCCCCCCTACCCGCCTTCAACCGCCTCTCCCTCCCTCCTTCCTTCCCCCCTACCCGCCTTCAACCGCCTCTCCCTCCCTCCTTCCTTCCCCCCTACCCGCCTTCAACCGCCTCTCCCTCCCTCCTTCCTTCCCCCCTACCCGCCTTCAACCGCCTCTCCCTCCCTCCTTCCTTCCCCCCTACCCGCCTTCAACCGCCTCTCCCTCCCTCCTTCCTTCCCCCCTACCCGCCTTCAACCGCCTCTCCCTCCCTCCTTCCTTCCCCCCTACCCGCCTTCAACCGCCTCTCCCTCCCTCCTTCCTTCCCCCCTACCCGCCTTCAACCGCCTCTCCCTCCCTCCTTCCTTCCCCCCTACCCGCCTTCAACCGCCTCTCCCTCCCTCCTTCCTTCCCCCCTACCCGCCTTCAACCGCCTCTCCCTCCCTCCTTCCTTCCCCCCTACCCGCCTTCAACCGCCTCTCCCTCCCTCCTTCCTTCCCCCCTACCCGCCTTCAACCGCCTCTCCCCCCTCCTTCCTTCCCCCCTACCCGCCTTCAACCGCCTCTCCCTCCCTCCTTCCTTCCCCCCTACCCGCCTTCCACCGCCTCTCCCTCCCTCCTTCCTTCCCCCCTCTAAGCCTTCAACCGCCTCTCCCTCCCTCCTTCCTTCCCCCCTACCCGCCTTCAACCGCCTCTCCCTCCCTCCTTCCTTCCCCCCTCTAAGCCTTCAACCGCCTCTCCCTCCCTCCTTCCTTCCCCCCTACCCGCCTTCAACCGCCTCTCCCTCCCCCCCTCCCCCCCTCCCCCCCTCCCCCCCTCCCCCCCTCCCCCCCCCAGCAAGCGCATCCTGAGCGGCGTGCAGCCCACGGGTCGCCCCACGCTGGGCAACTACCTGGGCGCCATGAAGAACTGGGTGGAGCTGCAGCAGCAGTACGGTAGGGGGGGGGATAATCGAATGAATGATAGGGAGGGAGAAGGGGGGGAGGGGGAGCAGCAGTACGGTAGGAGGGGAATGAATGATAGGGAGGGAGAAGGGGGGGAAGGGGGAGGTGGAGCAGCAGTACGGTAGGGGGGGCAGGGGGAAAAGAAGAAGAACCATGCGTTGGATGATAGGCGGAGGGAGGGGCCATGTGACTGACACGGTATGGGGAGGTTGCGGGTGCGGGCACACTGGTCCGTACTGCTGCAAGGTGTGGGGCGGTAGGGGAGGGGCGGAGGAGGGGAAGAGGAGGGCTGGAAGGCTCCCGCAAAGGGGGGGGGGCTGCTGCAGGGCGGGCGGGGTGGTGGGTGAGCTGGGCGGGGTGGCTGCATGCGGGGCTGTGAGGGGCTGTGAGGGGCTGTGAGGGGCTGTGAGGGGGTGTGAGGGGCTGTGAGGGGCTGTGAGGGGGGCGCTGCAGGCCCCCGTAGCCCGCAGTAGCGCATGGGACCTGCCCCTCCTGGGACCTGCTCGCGCTGCAGCCCGCCTGCCACTGCACTCTCCCCCGCCTGCCTCCCCCGCCTCACCACCCGTCTTCCTTTTCCCTTTCCTCACCACCTCCTGCCTCCCTCCCCCTCCCCCCTCTCCCCCGCCCCCCTCCCAGACAACTTCTTCTGCGTGGTTGACCTGCACGCCATCACGCTGCCGCACGACCCCGCGCACCTGCGAGCCGCCACTCGGGCCATGGCGGCGACCTACATGGCGGCGGGGATTGACCCGGACAAGGTGTGTGGTAGTAGTAGTGGTACATGTAGCTGACATGTGTGTTAAGAAAAACTGGCCGCGACATGTGTGTGTGGAGGGGGGGTTCGGATAAACTGAGCTTAGGGGACGGGGAGGTAATTAAAGGAGATGCCGACCAAGTAAAGTGTGAAAGGTAGTGGGAAGGGAGGGAAGGGGAGGGGAGTCCGATACTCCACCCCCTGCCCAACTGCACCTCTTGACCCGTTGCGTATCATTCCAGCCCTGGCAAGTATTCACCGCCTCTTAACCCCCTCCGGTGTTTCCGCGGCTCAATTCACCTATACCCCTCTCCCCTCCCCTCCCCCCCTGCTCCCCCTCCCTTCCCCGCCAGTCCACCATCTTCATCCAGAGCCACGTGCCCGCCCACTCCGAGCTGGCCTGGCTGCTGTCCTGCTGTACCCCGGTGGGCTGGCTGGGGCGCATGATCCAGTACAAGGAGAAGGCGCGCAAGCAGGGCGAGGACGTGCGCACCGGGCTGATGACCTACCCCGTGCTCATGGCGGCAGACATCCTGCTGTACCAGGTGCCGTACCCCGGGGGGGGGCCGGGAAAGGGGAGGAAAGGAGGAATAGCTAGCAATGTGACAAGGTGTTGCCCCCCTTCCTGGTGAATGGAATCGACTTAGTCGGTATGGGAACTTGTCGGCTTGTTTGCTATTCTCGTTCAACACCTTGGGTATTCTTCTTTCTTTCTTTCTCCCCCCCACCCCCCAGGCCGACCTGGTTCCGGTGGGTGAGGACCAGAAGCAGCACCTGGAGCTGACACGGGACATCGCGGACAAGGTCAACAACGACTTCGGGGGGAAGGTGGGGAGGGGGGGGGAAATGAAAAGGGAAGCAACTGGAGTCCAATTCCATATCTCGGCTCATGCAGTTAGCGCAAGGTAGGGGGGGGTCAAAGACCATACCAAACCATAGGAGACCACAAGTTAGGGCAAAGCAATGGGGATAGGAGTTGGCAGGTGTGGGGGGGGGGGAGGGGAAGAGGAAAGGGGGGAGAGGAAGGGGGGGGAAGAGGAAGGCTTGCCGTTCCTAGCTCCAGGTGCCCTCACCCGCCCTCATCACATTCTCCTCTCTCCTCGCCTCCCCCTCCCCCTCCTCCCTCTCCCCCCCAGCCCTGGAAGAAGCGCGGCGGGCGGGGCGGGCGGGTGTTCAAGGTGCCAGAGGTCTTCATTCCGCCCGCTGGGGCTCGCATCATGTCACTGCTGGTGAGAGGAGCGGGCGAGGGGGTTTAGGCACCTTGAGCCGCGAGGAACCACTGACCGTGACCATAGGATGGGGCGGGTGAGGGGGAGGAGGAGGAGGGCGGGGGCGATAGAAGCCAGGGGGTGGGGACCAGGTTTGATGGCCGCGGGTCGCTGCATCGCACAGGGAGAGGGGCACATGGTGAAGAGGCGGACGGGAGGCGGGGTCGTTGCGAGAGGGAGAGGGAGTGCGAGAGAGTCATTCAACACAGTGGGTTTTCTTCTTCACCACCACCACCACCACCACCACCCCCCCCCCAGGACGGCACTGCCAAGATGAGCAAGAGCGCCGACAACGACAACAGCCGCATCAACCTCACCGACACGCCCGACATGATAGCAGCCAAGGTGGGGAGAGAGGGAGAGGGGCGGGCTGGCGGGGTGTGCGTGTTAAGAAAACTGGCCGGAAGGCACTGTGGTTGCCGGAAGATGAAGTGTTAACTGTGTATGTGTGTGTGTGTGTTTTGCCCGGGTGCACATATGCATATATGCCTATGCATGTACGGCAACCCTGGTAGTGCCTGCTGCACCTCCGTTGCCGCCTCGGCTGCTTCCGCTGCCATTCAATTGCATGCTTCGCTGTCACGGCTGTCTCCTCAACTGCCGGCTCCTCCTCCTCCTGCCCCCCAACCGCCTCCTCCACTGCCTCCTCCTCCACCTCCCCCCAACCGCCTCCTCCCTCCCCCCCTCCACCCAGATCAAGCGCTGCAAGACCGACACCGCCGAGGGTCTGGAGTGGGGCAACCCCGACCGCCCCGAGGCGACCAACCTGCTCACCATCTACAGCCTGTGCACCGGGAAGAGCAAGGTGGGAGCGGGGTCCCCCTCCACCCTACCAACTATGCTTTACATATATATATGACAATCCAGCTGATTGTGGATAGCCCTACAGATATCCTACCCCACCCGCTCCCCTCACCCCCCCCAACGCATTGGGTATTCTCCCCCCCGGTCAGGATGAGGTGTTGTCGGAGTGCGGCTCCATGCGGTGGAGCGCCTTCAAGCCGCTGCTGGCGGAGGCGGTGGTGGAGCACCTGAGGCCCATGCAGGTGGGGGGAGGAGGAAGGAGGGGCGGGGAGGGGAGGGAGGGGGGTAACATGCGTGGGCTTAAGGGGGAGGGCCGGAGCGGGGCGGCCGGCCTGGGGGGGGATTGTGGCGATACTGTACAACGGAGGACTTGTGGTGCTTCGTACTGGGATCAAGGGCCTTTGGAATATACCGGTAGTGGTGAGAGTGGAAGGTGGGGAGGTGTGGAGGCGGTAAGGAAGTCTGAAAGGCACAGAGCGACCACCAAAAGTCAATGATACGGGGCTGCCCTGCAGCTGAGAGCTTTCCTGTTTCTACACATGCAGACCAAGTATGCGGAGCTCATGTCAGACCAAACGTACGTTGAGGATGTGTTGGCGAGGGGCGCGGAGACAGCTTCTGCGACGGCCGAGCGGACGCTCGCGGATGTGCGGGATGCGATGGGCTTTATGCCACCCTTCCGCCGGCGAGCATAACGAGGCGATGGCAAGCGAGCTTGGGGTTGGGGCGCGATGACTAGAGGAGGGGCTTTCGGGGCATTTACGCACACAGCCACAGATGCGATTGCGTGTTGTGATTTGCTTATGTCATCAAATGCATTTGTTAAGAGCTGCAAGGGGTCACGAGCTGGAGTACTAGGGCTCAATGGCAGCGTGGTACAGAAGCAGACAAAAGTTCGACTATGATAGAGCTTTAAAGCACACATGGATCTCTATGAAGTGACGGCCTTTTTTACTAGTTTGTCGTCAAGCTCCCTGCGCTCGGCTTCGACAAGGCGTTTCTAGCGTGATTATAACATTAGCTTTACAGGTGTGTCCCTGCTTTAATTAAGAGCCTCAATGAAAGGAAGTTGCGCGGGTGTGAGTTGCACGGATGAGAGGACGTAGCACAGCGGCCTTCCGGCCTCGACCGTTGGCCAATAACCGTCCGGCTTCTCGGGCAGTATATAGGTCCTTAGATGTCGAAAACGTGTATCACACTTCTTCAGCTTAACATTGCAATCTTTTCTTTACAGTTTTGTAACCATGTCGACCATTGCTGCGCTTTCTTCTCCTGCCACTGCTGGCCCCAAGGCTGGCACGGCTCCTCGCCTGAGCTTTGGTGCACCTGCCATGCGGCACTACCGTCGGTCGACCACCAACAAAGCGCCCCGCAAGCGCACCTTCCTAGTGGTTATGACCAAATTCAATGCCGATTTGGTGGCACCCATCGGGATGTCCTGCCCTAATGCCAGCGGCTCGACGATGCTGGCCTTTGGAAGCTGTTCTGGCACCGAGCAGAGCAATGCTGGAGGGGATGCTGGTAAGCTTGCGCGATCATCACAGTAACGCGCTAGGCCTCGAGGCCTGGCAGGCCTACCTTCAGCCTAACTTCATGGTCCGCAACAGCCGTTGCGCGTCTAGTACAGAACTTTGTTTATCTGTTTCCATGTATCCAGAAACGGGGAAGTAGTCGGTTTTCACATTCCTAACTGTCGCATCATCCTGCCCAACTTGCAGGCGATAACAACGGTGGCCGCAACAAGAACAACGGCCGCGGCAACAATGGTGACAACAACGGGGGAAACGGCTTTAGCGGTGATGCTTCTCGCTTCCCGTCTCAGCTCGTCAATGCCTTCTTGGGCGCCATCGTCCTCACCGCCGCGGTCGCTTTGCTCCCGGCTGCAAGCCAGGCTGCATCAAAGTCCCTGCCTGCATCCCCTTCCAACAGCTTCCTGGGTGGTTCGCCTTTTGGCTCCTCCACTTCCACCTCCAGCTCTCCTCTGCGCCCTCGCTCCAAGGTGATGCACGTGGCCTGCAAGGGAAGCACGCTGGTGGTGCCGCTGACGGCAGGCGATAAGGTGAGCCGGGTGCGGGACCAAAGGGAAGAGGCGTTAGAGCTAACATCCGCACGATGGTTATTGACTTGCGAACATACGATTTAGACGGTTTAAAGCCGTCACGCCCCTGTACATGTGATTGCCATGTCTCCTATCCGAGCGTTTCACTGACCCCTCCTCTCTTCTCCCTGCTCCCTCCCCCCCTTTCCAAGCAGTTTTCCTGCCCGGCTGTCCCCCTGCGCGGCCGCATCCTGGACGCGCCCATCGAGCTGTCGGAGCGGGAGGCGGCCATCATTCGGGAGCGGCAGTACCGGGTGCGGGAGAGCATGAGGGTGTAGGCGGAGGTTGGAGTGTGAAAGGGAGGGGCTGGAGGGGAGGGGCAGGAGAGCGGATTATGTTGTCAAGAAGCACGGCGTGGGCGGCATGGAGTGCAGCTGTTGCGATGATGAACAACGAGCTGAGGAGGGCAGGAAGCAGTGAGATGCTTTCTGGCATTGCAGGTTGCGCCTCAGGGGCTGGTGGCGAGAGAATTGAGCTTTTGGGCCATATTGGCATCTTATATATTACTTAAGAAGCAGCAACTGGCGCGTTGCTTACTTGACACGCGTACGGCAAAAAAGGTATCGGAGTTTAGGGATATGAATAAGCTATTGTCGTTGACAACAGTTGACTTTTGGTGCATCCCTCGGTGCTCGTGTTTCATTGTTTGCATCTGGTTGGGGCGGCGCTGCTGTGCGGGTTGCTCGCTTCTAAGCAGCGTAGGAGGGATTGAGTCGTGGATTGAGTTGTGGGGCTGACGGCCGCATCGGAAAGCGGTTGGCGCAGTTGCAACTGGAGGGATTCTTTTCTAGGCGTCCGCCATGCATTATTATTTCTCTAAACAGATGGCGTGCCGTTGTATTTTGGGAGGAGGGTTTTGCCTTTCACGCAACAGCATGTGCTGCACGTCCCGTATTAGCAGGTGTAGCAGGTGATTCCATTGTGCTGCTAATCTATGCACGCGCGCTTTGCTTTAAGGCAAAGGCAGAACTTGGGTTTTGCGGGCGACGTTTGATCTTTGGGGCTGTTACCGGTATGCCTCTTAGCCTGGAAGGCGATGGCAGCAACAACGCCTACGACGATGTGCATATGCGTTACAATTCTGTAACCACATACGGTCATCACATGCCTAACGGTGTTTTGCCAATCTGGGAAGAGGACTGCCTTGGCCGAAGCTGTTGCAGATTGTTGCGCGAGCAAACCCTAGCTTTCCCCTTTCGGGTGGCCTCCCAACCCAGTGCTGCTGACACCATCAGCCCGGATGTCCGTACGTCCCGAAAACCATCTTTGGCAGATTGGCAGCACTTTGGGTACACATGCCCAGGCTAGGAACTGGTAAACCGAGTCAAACTGAGCGCGGTAAAGGCAGGCTAGGAAGGCTGCCGATGTGTAGCATGCTTAGCATCATGCTATCATGCCATCATGCCATCATGCCATCATGCCACATGCCACATGCCACATGCCACATGCAGCACCCAGGATCTATGCATGGCGTAATGCTATCTACAGCTTTGCGGGGTGCAGTGCGGCTCGCACGTAACAGCTACGACAGGACGCAACACTCAGGCAGGGGTGGCAGTGGTTGGCTTTCTTTGTTGTCACTGCGTGTGGACAACACCAAGAGGGCTGCCATAGCAGCCGCAAAGAAGGGGCGAACTTGCCGTGCCACTCCACTGCCCTGCCTAGGTGGGGCGTACAACTGAACCGGCATCCTTCCACGCTGTAGGCATGACGGTATGACCCAGAAATTTTACCCTCAGGCAAATTACGCGATAAGTTTGGCAATGGTGTGCGCACACAAAAATCGTGCATCCGGCTATTCCTTGTGTGGCGATCACGGCTTGTACGGAAGGCCAGGGCTCTCCCGAACCCAAACCAACAGACGGGAAGCTTTGTGTTCTTATACCATAACAACTAGCAATATAAACTGTTGCGAACTCTTGCTTAAAGGCAAAATCATGTCGACCGTTTTCAACCGCTGTCGTCATGGCGCAGCGCGCCTTTGTAGTGGTTCCTGTTACCAACTGCCTTGTCCCAGCGTTTGCATCCATGGTGACTCCCACAAGCAGGCTAGGCTTTACAACGCTCCTTACGCGGGCAACGCCATGCGTGCCTCGCACACATCGTCATGTAGGCCTTGCGCCAACATCGATGATGTCTACACGCTTCAGTGTTATGGTGGTGGTTCAGGTAAGTTGGGACTCCTTTGCGGGGGAGACATCGTCGGTGGTTCTCGCTTTGGTTAAGAGATACAGCTTTTTATCTGTTAGTTACAGTAACGCTTTTGTTCAGTTGAACTGGAGTTATTGTTTGCTGGTTAACAGGTCGCGGCTTCAGCGGCAGTGGCAACAACGGCAATGGTGGTAGTAGCAGTGGCCAGGGCGGCAGCTTTGACGGCAACGGCAACCACCTTGCCTCAGCAAACCTAAAGCAGGCGCTGCTGGCCGCTATAGTCGTCTCTGCAGCCGCTTCGATGTTCCCAGCGCAGAGCCATGCCATGCCAGGTTCCACCTCCGGATCGCCTCTGGCTTCCTTCCTGGGCGGCTCTCCCAAGGGCTCAAAGCTCAGCTCCTCAGCTCCTGCCCACAGCGGCGGGCTTGGCGCCTCTCTGGGTCGCAACAGCATGGACATCGGCAGCCATGGCTCCTCCTCCTCCACTTCCACCTCCAGCTCTCCGCTGCGCCCTCGCTCCAAGGTGATGCACGTGGCCTGCAAGGGAAGCACGCTGGTGGTGCCGCTGACGGCAGGCGAGGCCAAGGAGGTAAGCATCCCTGCACCCATGAAGCAACCCCCTTGCCGCTCCTCTCCCATTGTCTGTCTGACTAACACTTCTACAGCATGTACTTCCCGTTCGATTGTTTTATATACATTACCCCCCCCCCTTTTCCTCATGCATGAGGCGTTGCATGGGATAGGGATTCCAGTACTTCACTACTCATGTTGTATTCCCCCCCCCACACACACACCTCTCCCCAAGGACGGCTCCAAGCTGCCGCACATGTCTCTGTGGCAGCGGCGGCGGGTGGTGGAGGCGCCCATCGAGCTGAGCGAGCGAGAGGTCTCCATGCTGGCCGGCAGCCGGCAGAACCGGGTGAGGGACAGCCTGCTGGTGTAGTGAGGTACCGGTAGTAGTGGGTGGGTTGGGTGGGACACAAGTGTGGGGGTAAAGAGATGGAAGTTCAAGAGCTGTATGACATGCAGGCTTCACCATGGGGTGCAAACACGCTAGCCCATTCCGCCTCACGCGGAGGAGGGCACAGGAGAGGGAGGGGATGGTGGGCAAGGACTGGGTAGTTGTGATGGAAGGAGAGAGGGTGGGGAGGCTAGTAGGGCCACAGGGCTGTAGGGGGAGAGGGCGCAGGATGCAAGATGGTATGGTAGGACAGCAGGCTGGAAGTATGGGAGTACAGAGGAGGCGCAAACATCACTCTTGTTGCGCGGAAGATGAAGAGCAATGCCAAGGGGATAGGGAGAAAGTTGGCCGCGTCAAGTCTAGAAGATGAGATGGAATTGCTAGACGCCGCTCGCCGGTCGTCACACCCCCGGCCGGCCAGCCTTCATTTGGCCAGGGCGCCAAAGCTGGGGAGAGTTCGAGGGGAATGAATAATGCATATAATGGCACGTTCTTTCTTGATGCCTGCCGCATGCAGCTACTCTATTCGAAGGTGGTGTGCAGTGCTGGAGGGGTTTGTGGTTCTTAATAAACCATCGAAGACCATTGCACGGTCCTTTAACGTGCCAGCTCCCATCGGAGCGCATTACGTATGCCAATCATGTATGATAGCTAGAGCTGTATATTGCGACGTTGCTCGCAGAAGCTAGCCAGATGCCTTGTGTAGTACTGTAGTTGGACCTAGTCATGTTCTGTCATCGCTGCTACTGCTTCTTATGTACTATCAGGTTGCTTGGGAGGTTGGAAGAACGCTGTACGATACGCGGCTTTTTTGAGATTTCGTTCCTTCCCTTACGTGTTTTGTTGTGTTCTTAGGTTGTGCTCGTAGGATGCGGCATTGGAGGATTGGAGAATCGTTTGAATAACATCCGTAGCTACGGGTTTCCGTACGGGGCTGGCTGGCTGTTTAGATTACTAGCTCAATAAGGTGCGTCCAGAAGCCGCTATGCCCCTGCGGGCCCCGCACAATAATTGCTGTTTACTTCTTTCCCGATTTCATGACGATCAGCACTCCGGTTGCGTCATTTAACACATGGTTGCTTTATCGGATACTTTTGCCGTGTTAAGATGTACGATGGGGTAAGTTGTGTGGGTAGTGCTAGTGACGGCAGTCTGCGCAGTTTGCGGTTAGTATGGCTGCGAATACTTGTTGGCATCCCTAGGTTGTTGCAGTTCCAACAAGGGGGCACAAAGACCCGTTGAGGCTCGTTGGGGCACCTCCCCAGGAAGGTCTGCGCTTCTAGAGTACCGTAACTTCGTTGTAAGCCAGTGAATTGGTGGCATGCTTCTCAGTCTACCAGTGCTTGGTGCTCGGGGCATTGCCTGCTGCTCCCAAGGGGAGGTTTGAGCCGCAGCCAGGGAAGGTGGCTTTTGGCTGTTTGGGTCCGCAACAACACCTGTGTTAGAGCCGACCGGCCAGGCTTGGCGCGGCAGGGATTGTGCTTGCAGCAGGGCTAACGAGCGTACTGTGGCTATGGGGGGCGGGTCTCTCAGCCAGACTGGTATCGCCCTGCCGCGGGGTGGCTATAGTGGCCCGCACTCCACCACATGGCTAAAATCAAGTCATGTACTATAGGGTAGCGATATATAGTACATTGCTACAGGTTCAGCAAGTTGCTCTAAACGAAACGCCGCCTCGCCTTCACTTCGGAAGCTCGGAGTTCAGAGACCTAACCGCGGGTACCAATTCGGGTTCGCGGCAGTTACAGATGTTGGAGGGTTATTGTGGTGGATATAGATGCAACCAAAGTATGTTACGCCGGTGACCCACAGGCGAGGGACGACATGGCGGAGGAAATTCGTACACGAAGTAGACGCGAACACGTGGGATCGTAGATACGTTGCACTACGGTGGTGCCCGCACATGGCGCGGCCGAGGTGCCTTGTTGGGGCAAACCTCGGGCCAATGAAGTTTGACAGCCATGGCCTGGTGTAGTAGCTAGAGAAGTTCAGCATTGTGAAGGGGCCTGCTGGCCTGCTGTTGTACATCGCAACAGCGATCAACCGCCCATCACTCAATCCAGTAGCCCAGACGAGGTAAAAAGCTGTAATATAATAATACATACTAGCAAATTTTAATCACAGCAATCTCGTTACATATTCACGTTTCGCGCCCAACTGCAGACCATGCCGATTTCACTGCTCGCCCGCCCTTCGTCGCCGTCTGCAAACACTAAACCTGGTGCCAAGCCGCTTCTTTGCACTTGTGGGGAAATGGCTCATTATCGCCGGCGTATCAACATACGGGCACCTCGGAAGCGCACCTTCCTGGTGACCATGACAAAGTACAGCGAGGCTCTGACTCCGCCTTCCGGAGTTGCAAGCGCCTTCGCTAACACGGTCGGCATGCTTTCTTGTTACTCGTGTTGTGGCTACGACCCAGCGTCATGTTGTGGCGGTTCAGGTGGGTTCGCGGTTACGTTCGGGAAAGAAGCAGGCCGCGAGGCCTTGAGCACGGCAACCCGGCTGAACAGCGAACTGGTGTTTTTCCTGAAGGAACTACGTGGACAGTTGTATGTTGGTAATGCGGCTTCGCACAGACACTATTCTGTCGTAAACTTCTTGGGTTCGTCGCTCCATCCCTTCGCAGATGGCAACAACGGCCGCTGGAACAACGGCGGCAACGGCGGCAATAATGGAGGCAACCAAGATAACAGCGGCTCTCCTCGTTTCCCTTTGCGCCTTACCCCGGCACTGTTCGGCGCTATGGCACTCATTACCGCCTGTGCCATGTTCCCAGCCCCGTCCAAGGCTAAGCCTGGCTCTCTTTTCGGCTCCCCTATGGGCAACCTGCTGGGAAGCCCCTTCCAGGAGTCCCTTCTGAGCTCCTCTGCGCCAACGCGCGGCAGCGGCGGTCTGGGCGCCTCTATGGACAAGCTCATGTCGCAGGCGGGCATTGGTCGCGACGTTTCGGCTTCCACCTCCAGCTCTCCGCTGCGCCCTCGCTCCAAGGTGATGCACGTGGCCTGCAAGGGAAGCACGCTGGTGGTGCCGCTGACGGCAGGCGATAAGGTGAGCCCGGTGCGGGGTGTACCGGTGGGTGGGGGAGGGTGCGTCGTAGCACATCCGTGCGCCGGTTTTAGTTCGGGGTAGCCTGCTAGTGATGCAGACCTCATGATCATGATCATGTCTGATGTCCGTTTGCTAAATTTAAGGCCTGCAGATTCCTCTTTGTCCTCCGAACAAGTAGGACATGCTGACGGCACCTGCTGTATACCTCAACCCCGGTATCCTTTTCCTTTAATTACCGTAGACACCCCGCCATTCACCCCTCCCTGCTCCCTCGCTCCCCCACCCTCCCCAGCAGTTTTCCTGCCCCGCTGTCCCCCTGCGCGGTCGCATCCTGGACGCGCCCATCGAGCTGTCGGAGCGGGAGGCGACCATCATTCGGGAGCGGCAGTACCGGGTGCGGGAGAGCATGAGGGTGTAGGCGGAGGTTGGAGTGTGAAAGGGAGGGGCTGGAGGGGAGGGGCAGGAGAAATGGAGGGGAGAAGGGGAAAACTTCACATCAATCTCGTGAGGCCTTTTAGGACCCGTATTACAGAGGGAGAAGGAAGCAAAAGGATTGGTCTAGTGGGGAGGGAAGCAGCCAGCGGCGATGGTAGGTATTGTTGGTGCGGCCAGATGCTGTGGCTGTTCCAGTCAGCGTCGTAGGTGTTCTCTTTCCTCGTACTGCATGGCACAAGAGTCCGGCGTCGGTCGGGTCGGGGTACCGCATGGTGGGCTCTGCTGCTTGAGAGGGGTCACACTTTTACAAAATACACTGTCCTTCATTGCTTCATGGTCATGCAGGGTGGGTGCCTGTTATAGGATTTGGATTGGTGTTGGTGGCAAACGAACCTGGAACCTACAACGGTAGGGGTGTTGCTTGATGAGGCAACGGCTCGTTCAGCCTACCCGTGACGCATTGTGGTGTCGTATCTCATCCTAGAACCTGAGGTGCAAGTCCTATAAGGTGAAGAAATTAAGCTGTATCCTGTTGTAGCAATTATAGCAGCCGAGTTGCACACGGTATGGGGTTGGATTAGGAGGATTGTAGCACCTCTGCTGGCCTCAGCGGGTGAGCTGGTGGGGTGGAAGGGTTGCTGGCAGTGGGCCCAGATGGGTGACGACAAGCTGGGATGTGCAACGTGCACATTTGTTGGAGCTTCGTAGGACACCGTTAGCTAGGATTTCCCTTGCCTTATCTGTCTGCATGAACGACCTGTGACATTCGTTGTACGGCAGGGTGCTCAGCGGAGAATGGCAGGTGGCAGTATCAAAGCGAGAATAGCGTTGGGAGTCAAGCCAGTTGCAGGTGATACGAGACTTTGTGCGCTTTAGCCGTGGCGGCAGCTGTTGCCGCGGCCCTCGAGCTGTCATCAAGATTCGTAATGCAAGCTGTACGAGAGGCAATTGGGCAGTTGCATGCTGCGACGACCGCTATAAAGCAATGTGCGCTCAATTTTAGGCAATGATGTGCAATCCTATTCTCTACCCGTTGCAGTTCAGGTAGCAGGAAAACATGTTGTCTGGGTCCCAGCAAGCAAAGTTGGCCGTTAGGATGGGCCCCGAAAAGTCTATGCATCAATTGCTCTCGATAAGACATAGGACTGTCCAATACGCTTCCAGCAGCGCGGTCGGTATGTCGAATTCTATCTTAAGGCGACAATCGCGAAAGCGTGCTTGGTCGCCACAAGTCGCTATGGCGCTGGAGACCGCAAGTCCACAGCAAGCGGCGCAATGTAAGCTAGAAAGGTAACATTTACGTGTGGCATGACGCCTCAGGCTACCGCTAGCATCTTGACTTTCGCCGTTTCATGTGTGCAAGCAAGCAAAGCGACATTGCATTAAATGACCCCTGGCATCGCCGCGGCATCGCACTCGTACTGCGCTATTAATGAGTAACACAACTAATGATTCGCAGGCCCAACCTCTTCGACGACCAAGGCCGGCTGTGCGTCCGCAGCCTGACACTGCAGGAGCTGCAGCACTGGTTCGCATCGCAAGGTGCGGCGGCGCGCACCGAAGTTGGAAACCAAGTTCAGCCTCTTGGAAGGATGGAAGGAGAAGCCGCGAAGAGAGCAACGCTGCCATGCATCAGCCTGCCCGCTGTACCGCTTCATGCCGCACACACCAACCCCGCCTCCAACCCCCAAGCTGCTCACGGCCAAGGACGTGCCCACACATGCTTTACTGGATTGCTACGAGACCCCGCAATACCCAATTCCTACATATGTCCCCAGGAGAACGCCCCAGCCGCGCTGACCAACTGTGGCGTTGGATGTACGGCAACAGCAGTGGCAGCAGCAACAGCAGCGGTGGCGGCAGCAGCAGCGGGGTTGCTGGTGACGCTGGTGCTGGGTGTGGGTTGCGGCGACTGCAAGATGCGCAGCAGCAGCAGGCGGGGGCGGTTGACGGCTTCAGCGCTGGCTTCGTGCAGCGCTTCAGGTGGGCAGCCGTGCCGCTTGCGCCGCGACAACTCCCAACCGCTATATCCACTTCCCCAACCCCCCCGAACTCCTGGAACAGCACTGCCGCATCGCATCCCCCTCCGCACCGCACAAGCCTCGCTGTTTCCCCACGCATCCCGCCCCCCCACACCCCCCCGCCTCCCTCCACTCCCCGACCCCGCTATGCACCCCGAAGAAGTGACACCTGAATTCATAGTCTCACACAAGTTCCAGGAATGTGGCCCTTGCTGTTCCTAAGCCTCCCTCCCTCCCCCCCCCACTTTTCCTTTCCTCTTCCTTTCCCCATCGGCGCTCCCCTCTGCGCAGTCCGCTGCTGAGCCTGGACGGCGGGTTGGCGCTAGAGCGGGTAGTGCGGGCGGCGGACGGCACCACCAAGCTGGTGTTCAGGGTCACAGCGGGGGAGGGGCAGGGTGAGAGGAGGGCGCTGATAGCGCATGTTGCATGGGGACATAAAAAACCAACAGCAGATACGAATGGCAGTTGAGGAATGACCGTTAGTGTGTGTCCCAGGCCTGCTATCCGGCCAATGGCTGGCGACTGGGGGAAGGGGGCCCGGGGACATCGTTGTATTACTGTATCATTCTAACAAAGGATTGGGGCAGTGGCGGTGGAGGGGATGTTCCTGCACTTCCACTGTCTGGTGTTGGCGATGTTGGGAGCCGCGCGCCTTTGGCCCTTCGACCAGACGTGCATAGACCTTTCCCCAAAGCTGCTGGGAATGAGGCGTTTGCAGGGCGGGCAGCCCAGCTTGGTCCCTTCTCCGGCCGCGTGTGTGTATTTTCCTCTTTCCTCGTCTACCTGCACCCGCAGGCGGCCGCATCGAGTCCGTGCTCATCCCCTGGTACCGCGACTATGACCCACGGGTCAGCAAGCAGGAAAGACCCCGCTACACGCTGTGCGTCTCCTCACAGGTAGGAGCCGCGCCACTCCCACAGCAGCGGATGTACGGATATGGCCACTCGGTGTGCCAGGTGCGGGCGAACCGCCTGGTTCATGGAGCAGCCCGACCCACTACCTCCAATCTCCTGCCCTCCTGATAACCCTCCCGGCACCTTTATCCACCCCGGAGGCCCTGCACACACCCCTCCCACCACCCACCCCAACCAGGTGGGGTGCGCCATGAACTGCCAGTTCTGCTTCACCGGGCGACAGGGGCTGAGGGGCAACCTGAGCACCGCACAGATCCTGGAGCAGGTGTGTGTGTTTGTATGGGGGCTGTAGAAGAATTCCCGGGCGGGGTGGGATGTGGTAAACTGGGTCGCGAGGAGGGTTATCACAGATCGTTAAAAGGCCATGGGAAGACCCATTGGCACGTGGGCCGAGGTGTGAGGGTGGTGGGCGGGTGTGGTATGTGCCGGTGGACTGTGGACGGGTGGTTAAGGCTGCCGTTCGAGGTGCCACGGCCTTCATACGGCCCACAACACGCTTAGCGCCCTGCCAGCACACGCCCCCGTCACCTTACCCTCCCGATCCCCCTTCTCCCTTACCTGCTTTGCTGTCATCCACACCCCCTTCCATGCCTCCCTCCCCCTGCCTCCCTCCCCCTCCCTCCCCATGCCTCCCTCCCTCCCCCTGCCTCCCTCCCCCTCCCTCCCCATGCCTCCCTCCCCCTGCCTCCCTCCCCCTCCCTCCCCATGCCTCCCTCCCCCTGCCTCCCTCCCCATGCCTCCCCCTGCCTGCCTCCCTCCCCATGCCTCCCCCTGCCTGCCTGCCTGGCCCAGGTGTTAGTCGCCCGGCAGCTGCTGGCACAGGGACCCGCTCAGCAGCCCTCCACCCCCGCCACCCCCACCGCCGCCGCGCCCCCTCCCCTGCCCTCCGCCCCCCTCACCCACCTGGTGTTCATGGGTATGGGCGAGCCGCTGCACAACTGGCCCGCCGTGTCAGCTGCGCTGCAGGTGCTGACACACCGCCGGGGGCTGGGCTTCGCAGCGAACAGGTGCGGGTGGGGGAGTAGCTCAGTACTGTACTTGAGTGGCGATGTATACTCTGAAGGTTACACACCACTACCTGCACCATTGCTTGAGGTATAAGGAAGTCCGCACTAAATCATTAACCGCTGCAGGATAACGCTGTCTACGGTGGGCCTTCTTCCACAGCTTCAGCAATTCCTAGACCGCTACGCGCCTGTCCCTACCTGCGGACCTTCGGACCTGCGGTCCCTCCCGCAACCCCCACCACCCCACCGCCCTCACCAACAACCGCCCCAGCAGCAACCCGCCACACCAGCTCACTTAGCGCAGCAGCGCCAAGAGTCATCCGCTCAGTGCTGTACAACAGGCAGGCCAGGTCCAGATCAGTATAAGAGCCCCGAAACCCACGCCGCCGCATCCAACGTCCCACGGGTCAGTCTTGCAGTCTCCATACACGCCGGCACCGACCGGCTGCGCACCGCTCTTGTTCCCTCCAACAGCCGCCTCATGCTGCTGCCAACGACCGATACTAACCACCACCTCCAACCACCTCATGACCCGCCACTGACGGCACACGGCCGGGATGGCCAGCACCCCCATGATAGCAGCGTCAGCAGCCACAGCAGCAGCAGCTGTGATTGCAACCCCAGTTGCCAAGGTACCAATACCTCACAAGGCCGTCACAGCATGGCTGGTGGTAGCAGGGTGGTCAGTGCAGAGCGCGACGAGGCCGAAGAGCGCTGTCATGACGGTAATGGCGGCGACGACGGTAATGGCGGCGACGACAGCACCTCCGCTGACCCCAACAACCCGTTGCGGGGCTTGGCGGCACTAGCTGCCGTACTAGCCAGGCACTACCCACGCACGGACCGGCGGCCGCTGCGGGCGGGGCGCTACGTGCTGTTCGAATACACGTTGCTTGGAGGTAGGTCAGGAGGTTCACAGGAAAACGATGAGCGATGAGCAATGTCCTGGAGGGTCATGGATTGGGTGCTTTGGGAGCGCCTTCCGTCGCGTCTTCCGTTGTTCCGTGCAACGTGCCGCACTGCTCTCGCCCCCGTCCCCGCTCCGCCCTCCGTCAGGTGTCAACGACGGGCCCGAGGACGCAGCGGCGCTGCTTGCCGCCACCCGCCACATCGAGTGCGCATTCAATCTTATCATGTAAGTCAGACGTGGGGAATGGCGGTTGTGTGGTATGGTCATTGTTGCCGTACGGGTTGCGGGCTGTGGTTGCGGTGTCGTGTCCCGATGATGCGTCAGCGAAGCTATGGATACTTGTTGTTAAGGGCATGACGTTTGATTGCTACACACCTGTTTTGTTGGCTTGGCTGCAGGTTCAATCCCTTTCCAGGCACCCTCTACACGCCTTCCACACCGGAACGAGTGAGTGGACCCATGGGTCGCTGGTTACCAACCCGCCTAGCATAGCGCAAATGCATGCTAACCACATCGATTGCAGCATGAAAGCGTGATATGTGGTCGTTGGTTTTTCTAACCTGCAGCTTACCGGTCTGCTTTCTTAGTGATACACAGCGCTCGCGCGCCCCCTTTTAGAGAAGAGGAGGGACCATGCCCCGCCTCGCCTGTTGACTCGCCTCTACTACTACCACACCCACCCAACCACTCCAGCCCTCCCTGCCGGTTGCTGCGCCCGCGCCTCAAACAGGTCGCCTGCTTCCAAGCCGTACTGCGCGCGGGCGGCCGCATCGTGCATGTGCGACACTCCAAGGGCGACAGCGGCATGGCAGCGTGTGGGCAGTTGGGGGACGTGGGCGCAGCAGCAGGGACAGAGGAGGAGGAGGGAGCGGGACTGAGCAGGCAACGTGCGAGCGAGGATGGGGGTAATGTGTTTGTTGGGGCAGAGGAGGAGAATGGTAACCTGGAGGCTGGGCGAGGGGGGCGGGGGCGGCTGGCTGGTCAGCCGGCTGCACGGATGCTGCCGGCTGCGAAAGCCCTGGCTGCTGCTGCTGCTGCTGCTGCTGCTGCGGCTGCTGCAGCCGCTGAAGAGGACCTGACGGCGTTGGCAAGGAATACGACTGTGGTGACTGTGGCGGCCGGAGCGGCGGCTAAGTAGTTTGCAGCTTGCATCTCCTGTCACTGCAGCTTAACCATGTACGTCCGTACCGCACGTATGCTTGCGTTACATGCAGCAGAGGATTGATGGCGGTGTGAGGGCCAGGGATGGACCGGGGCGCGGGAAAGAAGGAGAACCATGATGACTTGATGAGGGAGGAAACAAATAGAAGCAACTAGAGTCCCAATCCCATGTCCCGACTCATGCAGTCAGCGTCTTTGGGGACATTACTCTAGGAACTAGCAACCCAGGGAGAGGGGGACCGAGGTATGCATGTGGGGTGGATGGGAGACGGAAGGAGGTGAAGGCACAGGCAGAGTTTACGCTGTCATTATGGTCCTGGGAATGCTCGTTGTGGAGCCAGGTGGGGTACAGATATGACCCATATGAGCGGTCAGGCACTGTCCGCCAGATGCATGTGCTTGACTTCGCGTGGCTTTGCTCGGCATTGTGTGCCTAGCTGTTGCAGGATGGAAGGGGCTGGTCACGACCGCCTCACCCAGCCAGGATCTGGCTGTCATGAAGACGTCGCAGGGGAATGATAACTACTCTGCTCTAGCTAGGAGAGTGCGATTTTTACTAGGTGGTGGAGAGGAAAGCAAATTACGTAATTTGTGGTAGTCGTGCCATCGCCGGAACTCTAGTCCATGTACATGTGTAACCGATTTCCAGGCAACGGGGTTTGTTAGGTACCTGACGCTCACGCGAATCTCCATGGAAGCGGCAAGTGACTGGGAAGGACAGGAAGGAGGGCGGAAGCCGGGCGTGGAAGGTTACTAAGTGGCTCAACTACCACAATTATGGGCCTTGTGAAAACGCATATTGGCGTTAGCCACCATGCCTTTTCTTACTAGGTACATATTAAGCAGCCGATGACAATGCGATCCAAAAACGGAAGCACTGGCGCGACAGCCAACGCAACAATTGATAACATCAATGATGGATGCCCTAGTTTTATTCCGTGCACTCCTTTGACAGAGGCAACCTGCAGCTTGCAAACCATAATAGGTAGATCGAAGGGTAGTAGGCAACTCCGATAAATTCCGCATTTGGATATACAGCGTAGGGTTGGATGTAAAGACATAGCCTCATATGGAAGGGATGCAACAAGTAGATCAGGTGGCTAGTGCCCTTGGCAGGGCATTATCCGTTAACGAGTCACAGGACACTGCCAGAGTAGTAAATTCTTTTATATCTATTTACTGAGATGCGGTTTGTGCCAAGTAGAGCTGCTACTCGAGTCCTCCACTATTTCGTCTACTGTCGGAAAGCGAACGGACAAGCACGTGAACCTTGATACTTGTTGCCCTTGGCTTTCCCACCTCATGATTCTTAGCGTTGTAAAATCCTAAAACAATGGGGAATGAATTGGTGCACTAGAAGAGGTGCGGCGATCGGTACGGTTGCACGGGGTGTGACGACGAGCGGCGATACGAGCTACCTGGCAACCTGGGGGAAACGTGAAAGACGTCAACACCATAAACCATATTTGTCAACTACCTTGTAATAGTTATTCCGTAGGAAACAGACATACCAGTATGGCCGATGCTCCCCCTAGCCCAGCAATTGCTGCGGACCTTTCGGATACATATGGGAAAGTCCTGGCGACAATGGAATGCTTGGAGCAGCTATTGGCGCAGCGTTTGACTGATCCTGTGCCTGAGCCCGTACCAGAGCCTGGACCTTTACGAGCAGAACCAGTACACGCCTCGGCACCTGAAGCAACGCCGCATCACAAACAAACTACTTATGCTAAGTGTCGCCGCAATAGCCTTACCTTAACAGTGCCCAGAAGTCCGCTGCTCCTACCTCAGGTACGCCTTTACATACATACTTGCCGCAGTTGGCTAGAAAGGAGCAGCACCCTAAATCGATCTGCCTTCCAAAAACTTCATATGACACCAAAACAAAGTAATAGCTGCAAAACAGATGAGGCAACCCCTTACACATCGCTAAATCCAACCCTGGCATTCTTCCCCAGGTCTCATGTCCAGAAGATCAATTGGACGATGTTTACGCGCTGCTGCCAGCCGCCAACGGATCCAACAGCACCAAGCTGCCACCGCTGCTGGAACTCTCACCCCTCACATCCCCCAAAACCGCCACAGCCTTCACCAACGCCATCAGCAGCCACCACGACTCCCCCAGCTCCCCCCAGCTGCAGCCCGGCAGCAGCAGCAGCTGCCTAGCGCCCCCGACAGCACCCCGCGGCTCCGCTCTGCAGCGCCGCTTCAGCGGCAGTTGCAGTGGCGCCAACCCGGTCCCCAGCTTCCAACGCAATTCCGCCAACCAAGCCCTGGAGGCAGGCTCTGGCATCAGTGGCAGCATCCAAGCCCAGCACAGCATCGGCTCGTCCCGCAACCGCACCTCTACCAGCGATCTGGCCGGGGTGCCTAACTCGCCGCCCCTGATGCACCCGCCCTCGCCTCAGCGACCCGCGGGACCGCCCAACTCGCCGGGTAGCTACCGCGCCCGGCGGATGAGCGCGTATGCAGGTGAAACGTGGGGGAGCGGAGTGGGGTGCATGCTTGCTGGCGTCTTGGGTGGGGTGGTTGAGCTTTGCATTAGGAAGGGATTGGCTGCGGAGGAAGGGGGTAGGGGGCTGTAAGGAAGGGAATTGTAAGGTAGCTGGGTTATGGCTAGCTGGTAGGGAGGGATGGAAGGTAGCTGGGAGGGATGGAAGGTAGCTGGGAGGGATGGAAGGTAGCTGGGAGGGATGCTCCAATGCCTCCGCCTCCCTCCACTCGCCGGGTTGCGTCGCTGCGCGGTATGCACCGGCAAACAATAACTGGTGAAGCACGTACGGCAAACCACCATGCGTTAACCTCTAACCCGCCATTCGCCCGCCCGCAGCAGGCGACCGCGCCCTGCATTGCACCCCGTCCTTCCCCTCCCCGCCCAGCGGCCCCACCTCCCCCGCCTACCACCCCTCCTCCATCCCCACCTCCGCCTCCTTCACAGCCTCCAACACCGCCGGCGCCAGCAGCAGCATCTTCTACAACCCAGCCATCGCCACCCTCGCGCTACAGGAGCCCTCCCCCACCGGCCTCGCCTCGCCCGCCCAGCCCACCACCACTACCACCACCATCACCATCAACTCCACCACAACCACCACCTCCGTTTCCGCGCCCATTAACCCCGCAGCATGCGAGGCCTTGGGCCCCTTCCCCGCGCTGCCCCGCCTGCAACCGCCCCGGGCCGCAGGCATGCTGGCACGTTCCTTCCTGCGTCTTGTGGGCGGTAGCCGCGGCGGCGGCGGCAGCGGCAAGAAGCAACCCATCCGTAGCTCCTCCATCGACCTGCACGCCACCTCCGGCGGCAGCGCCAGCGGCAGGGAGGCTTTGCTGGCGGCCGCAGCGGCCGTGTCAGCCGCGGCTTCCACCGCCGCGGCGCCGGCAGGACTGTCGTCAGCACCCTCCTCCAACGCAACAGCAGCGGTTGCGGCGGGAGGCTCCGCAGGGCATGCAGCGCCTCTCTCGCCCTTGCTGCGTTCCCATGAGGGGGTTCAGCTCGCATGGGGGGCTGGGCCGGCCCCGGGACATGTGCTGCCCAGCCCGCCGCATGCCGGGGGCTCAGCTCTGGTGCCCACGGGTGCAGCGGCGGCAGCGGCGGCGGTAGGAGGAACAGCGGCTGGTGGGGGGGCTGGCGGCCGGCTGGCACCGCGGCGGCGGATGAGTCTTCCCCTTACCCAGAACTGCTGCTTGGATACAGAGGGGTTGTTGCTTGGCGCCGGGGGGACCCAAGCGGTGGCGGGTGCGGGTGCGGGTGTGGGTGGTGTGTGGGCGACGCCCGCACTTCCTGCCGTCTGGCGGCGAGGGTGAGGTAGCCTTCTGCATGTCGTATGTATGCGGCATGGCGCTAAAGGAATGGATTTTAGGCGGGGTTAAATTTGATGTTAGTGAGTTGACCGAGTCCAAGAAAACCGCCACGGACATGAAGCGGTGGGCGCTTAGTTTCTCGGTTGTAAGCGCGGGCTTGGTGTTGTGGGGGTAGGGGGTGATATCACACGGCGAGGATGGTGAAGATACTGTCTGTTGCGTTGGTGAGGTCGTGCGGGCAGCACTATGAGCGAGGAGGTCTGTGAAGGGCTGGGCTGTTGAGGCGGCGTGGCATGCTGGGGTTAAACTAGGGGTTCTGCTGTCTTGGGCAGGATGGAAGAAGGCCCTGAGTCAACGGCTGCAATGCCTGCAATGGGTTGCTTGGTTGCAAAGTGCGTGTGTTTAGCATGGGTGGGTTACAGTGACCCACATGGCCTGGGTTGGTTGTACAGGAAACCTTTACATCGACGTGCGTGATCTGACGCATGGAGGGCTGTGCTTCTCTTTTGGTTTATTTACACACGCAGGACTGTGCGCTGCCCTCCGTTTTTGACAGGGCATTCAGTTGCGGGGTTGTGTTTTCGGCTTTGGAATGAATCCCCTGGGTGTGTGCGCACTTATCTTAACATCATACCGGTGGATAGCTTGGAGGAGAGCTCAAGTGGGTATAACAATGCTGATGTTCAAACATGTACTGTATGCCCCAATTAGTTGGACACACTCCTGTACTTTACCTGTTGTTGAGAACAGCTTAAACCTTTACAGACACAGAACCGATGAGGACAATGCTGAGCTTTCATGGACGGGGCATAAGCCGAAAGCTGCCGTACGCTGAGCAATGATTAAGCACATCTAGTGTCTAGGATGTGATGCTCAGGGCTGCGTGCGTCTGACCTTGCCTCTGACTCGCTGCCCTTGAACCCGACACATGAACATGAAAATTTCCCCTGTGCAGCTGTGCCATCGTTCTCGTCGCCTACGTTTGTGGAGCGTGCGTGTAATGCTTACTGGTACTTTTCCCAGCTGGAGATTGTTTCATTAGCTATGCTGGATTCACTTGATGGTTGCTCATCAGGACCATGTAACATACGTCGTAGCCTATCTGGCCAGACACCTTTTGCTTCTGCTGCCGCCCCAAAATACCCATAACATTACATGGGTTACTCCGACAGGGTAATATGACAGGGTTGAATCCATGCAACATATTAATATGCATTTTTATGCGAGATAGAGTCAAACGGCAAAACTTAAGCGTGCTTTCGACAGAAAGTTAGAACCTCGACACAAACGCGTTCTTCAATTGGCAACTGCCATTCCCTACCTGCGAACCCTGCATCTGGAACCGGCAAGTCCCCTGCTTAACCTAAATGGGCCTTACAGCCCAACAAGGCCGAGCGTGAGAACGGCCATAACCAAAGTACTAAGCTCACAACCTGCGCACACCCCTGCGTGAATTGTCTAACCAGTATGGTCACACGCTATCCATATCATGAACAGAAATGCCGACGCTCGCTGTACACAGGAGGTAGAATAAAGCAAGGCATAAACAACATGTGCGTGGTGATAGTCTTATACGCATACCACGCCGCAAGTGCAATACGCGCGGCAGCGCAATCCACAGTGAAGGCGCACGTAGTATCAAGAATCGCGCGATAAATAATGACCAGCGCACGTGCACCCAATCAGCTAAACAACGCTTAACAACACGCAGTACACTCCGTTAGGCGAAGCGTTACGGAACACTTCACAAGTGCAGTGATACCAAAATCAACGCCACTTCCCGGACAGATCAAATTGATCGGAGCCCGTCATTCCAACCAGAGCGTTTAGCGGCGGTTGTAACTTCCAAAGGAGTTGCCAGGTGCATAGTCCTTGGCGCAGCATCCGTTGCCAGACGTCCTGCATCAGGGTAAGGCCACGTTGAGCCATGTCAGTAAAAGAATATTGAAGGAGTGATGGTAAGAACTCCTAAGCCACCATCTTGGGAGCAACCAAACGTAAAATAAAAACGTTAAGTTGTTACTCAGCGCCGCACAGCAGAATGTGAACACATGTGAAGACTCATGTAAAGACTCTCACATTGAAGACCCCTTTGACCGATTGCCCGAGATCCTGAACCCACTCACCGGTCGAAGACGGCGTACTTGCAGATGCCTCCATAGCAGAACGACTCCATTGTGCTGCATTTGCTGGTGCCCTTGAGCGCAATGCAAATCTCAACCCCGCCTGCGTTGCTGGCATCCAGGTTCAGGTTGTTGGTCTTGAGGACGCCCACAAGCTGGGTTGCGTTCTTGTACATGACGGTGTCCGTAGCGCGAGTCCAGACAGGGGCGCGGTAGTTGTTCGGTTGGGTGGATACGGTCCAACCGTCAACCGCTGATAGGCAGTTGTCTTCGTCGGACATCCACTCGATCTTGTCCAGCTCCTGCTCACGACAAATGAGGGTGGAAGCCACATTGTAAGCCTAACTGGAATTATAAGGCTAAACAGGGCGAGAATCCTTTCATGAGTCTCTCTGGACAGAGCGGTAATGACAATGGCTCAAATGTACGACATCTCACTTGTATCCCCTCCTACACACCCACCATGTTGCAGCAGCGTGCACTTCCGCATTGCGCCTTGTTAACAGCGACCTTGAAGCAGTAAAAGTTGTTGCCCGACCGGGTGAACTTCCGCGAGTACGACACAGCGTACGGCGTCTTGATCGTAGCACCTGTATCGCAACTGCAGTACGGGAAGCCGTCCTGGGGCGGCGGCGCGCAATCCTGCGTGAAGACGCCAGAGTCGCAAATCTTGCCAGACATGTCCGTGATAACAAAGCTCAGGATCGACTTCTGGCAGACCATGACCCCGTTGACTGGCGCCACGATGTTGCCAAAGCCAATCACAGCAGCCACCACCGGGAAGCCAGCGGGGTTCTGCATGAAGGTGCCAAAGCCGCGGGCGTCGGCCTCAGACTTGAAAGCACCACAGACGGTGGCCGAAGACGAGTCAAAGGCAGTGCAGGCGAAGGCCTTGGACATGGAGGAATAGCCTTGCGCCTTGGCGTAGCTCAGGATGGTGGCAGCGAAGTTGTCGCACACACTCTTGTCAATCACGCCGTTGGTGCGGTTCCAGACAACGCACATCTGCGGGGGATGGGAGGGGCAGAAGAAGGAAAGAGGGTAAGGATGTCAGGATGTTGAGTGTCAACGGACAGGCAGGTCAGACACTTGCAAGGTAACGCAGGTAGGGTAGCTCCCAATGCACCCCATACTTACTGAGGAGCAAGGGGGCGGCGGGCTAGGGGGCGGGGGGCTGGGAGGCGGCGGGCTAGGGGGAGGAGGCGAGGGGGGAGGGGGCGAAGGAGGCCGGGGGGAAGGAGGCGGCGGCGGCGGGGGTGACGGAGGAGGAGGTGACGGCGGGGGCGGGGATGGGGGTGGGGGAGAGGGAGGAGGAGGGGATGGGGGAGGCGGGCTTGGTGGCGGGGGGCTTGGTGGAGGAGGAGACGGCGGGGGAGGGCTGGGGGGCTTGGGGCTAGGGGGCTTGGGGCTAGGAGGAGGAGGAGGCGGGGGCGAAGGTGGGGGCGGAGGAGGGGGGCTGGGTGGGGGCGGCGGGGGAGGAGGAGGGGGCGGCGGGGGCGGGGGAGCAGGGGGAGGCGGAGGCGGAGGGGGAGGAGGCGGGGGAGGAGGGGGAGGTGGCTGGGGAGGCGGGGGCGGAGGGGGGGGAGGTGGTGGAGGGGGAGGAGGAGGAGGAGACGGGGGTGGCGGCGGGGGAGGAGGGGGGGGAGGAGGCGGCGGGGGCTGAGGAGGAGGAGGAGGGGGCGGGGGCGGTGGGGGAGGAGGAGGAGGAGGTGGAGAAGGAGGCGGTGGGGGCGGTGGGGGCGGCGGGGGAGGGGGAGGGGGAAATGGGGGAGGCGGAGGGGGTGGGGGAGGAGGCGGTGGGGGAGGAGGAGGAGGCGATGGGGGAGGCGGCGGCGGCGGCGGCGGGGGAGGAGGAGGAGGTGGCTGGGGAGGCGGCGGCGGAGGGGGCGGCGGAGGCGGTGGCGGAGGCGGAGGCGGCAACGGAGGAGGGGGCGGCGGCGGGGGCGGGGGAGGAGGAGGAGGCGGATGGGGAGGAGGAGGCGGCGGCGGCGGCGGAGGAGGTGGGGGAGGAGGGGGCGGGGATGGAGGGGGCGGAGGCGGCGGAGGGGGAGGCGGCGGGGGAGGGGGGTTAGGAGGAGGGGGTGGCGGCGGGGGCGGGGGCGGAGGCGGCGGGGGCGGAGGAGATGGTGGCGGCGGAGGGGGAGGAGGGGGTGGCGGCGGCGGGGGCGGCAAGGGAGGTGGTGGAGGAGGAGGAGGGGGCGGTGGTGGGGGCGGCGGCGGCGGCTGAGGAGGAGGAGGTGGGGGCGGAGGGGGCGGCGGTGGGGGCGGGGGAGGGGGCGAAGGAGGAGGAGGGGGTGGCGGTGGGGGAGGGGGCGGCGGCGGCGGCTGAGGAGGAGGAGGTGGGGGCGGAGGGGGCGGCGGTGGGGGCGGGGGAGGGGGCGAAGGAGGAGGAGGGGGTGGCGGTGGGGGAGGGGGCGGCGGCGGCGGCTGAGGAGGAGGAGGTGGGGGCGGAGGGGGCGGCGGTGGGGGCGGGGGAGGGGGAGAAGGAGGAGGAGGGGGTGGTGGTGGTGGGGGCGGCGGCGGCGGTGGGAAAGGCGGCGGCGGTGGGGGAGGCGGCGGCGGCGGCGGCGGTGGTGGTGGCGGGGAAGGAGGAGGGGGAGGAGGAGGAGGAGGCGGCGGCGGCGGCGGTGGGCTTGGCGGCGGCAGGGGTGCACACTGCTGCATGAACCAACCCTGCAGGCAGTCATCTCCCGAGGTGGTCTCACCCTTAAAGGCGTACCCGGCAGTCTCATACGAGCCGCACAGCACGCCACCAGCCATCTGCTCGACCCAGGTCTGCAGGCCGCCAAAGCCAGCGAGGAAGCCGTTGAGCTTCTTGCCGTCAGCAACGGAGAAGAACTTGGCGCAAACCGTCAGATGGGGGTTCACGCCGGCAAAGGAGTCAAAGGTGGCGGTGCACTCCTTCACGGCAAAGGCAGTGAGCATGCGCGAGCCGAGGTTGGCAGCCGCCGAGTTGAGGCCGGTCACGACGGTGGAGCCCAGGCTGCTGCACCTGGCGGAGTCCAGAGTGTAGAGGGGGCGCTTGCCGAGGTCCGCGGGTGGGATGATGGTGAGGGTGACGCAGGCGTCGCAAGGAGGAGGGGGGCTGGGAGGAGGAGGCGAGGGCGGGGGCGGGCGGGGAGGAGGGGGAGATGGAGGAGGGGGAGATGGAGGAGGAGGCGAGGGAGGAGGGGGAGACGGAGGAGGAGGCGAAGGGGGAGGGGGAGACGGGGGAGGAGGCGAGGGAGGAGGAGGGGGAGGAGGAGAAGGAGGAGGCGGCGAGGGAGGAGGGGGAGAGGGGGGAGGAGGCCGAGGGGGAGGAGGGGGCGGTGGAGAGGGAGGAGGAGGAGGAGGAGGAGAAGGAGGAGGAGGCGAGGGAGGAGGTGGAGAGGGAGGAGGGGGCGAAGGCGGAGGGGGGCTGGGTGGCGGCGGCGAGGCTCCGCGGATAATAGGGCAGCACACGTGGTCCGGCGACCAGAGCGCAACCGACCAGATCGGGCTGGGCGTCAACAGCTCCAGCGTGTTGCATGGGCCGCTCAGCTGTGGAGGAGATATGGGGCATCAATAGTTGAATACGAAACACAAGGATGCGGTAGTACCTAAGCTAGCTGCAGGATAGACAGCATGTTGATGCTTGACAGAAAGAAACTGGCTATCGAACCACACATGGGTCTTGCGTTGTAGGGTATGGGGTAAGAAGCGCCTTGGGAGGAGAAAGAACCTACCGTCACGCAAATCAAGGCGCCCTCAGCGGTCGTGTTCTTCAAGTTGAGCCCAGGGACACGCAGCGTGCGCTGGTTGTCGGCCGCGTTAGGCGGCTTGACAATGTCAACACTGCCGACGGCCCGGCCGTTCAGGGTAGCAGTTACTTTCTCGCTTGCCACGTCGCAAGACGGACCTGTGGGAGCATCAGGGCCGACGGGTTTAGGAGACGGATCGTTGAGGATCACCTAAGTGCAACATGACCAAATAGAAGTGAGACGTGCTAGACCCGCCGGTAAGACGGACAACTGAAGCAACAGCCTAAAACCGCAATAATGGGCGATTCCCGGATACTCTCAGCTGTAAGCTCGTCACCTCAACCCAGATAGGACAGAACGCGGTGATTCGTAAGACGTAAAGACGTCTATCTCAGAATAATTCGTCCAGAACGTTGAAAGGTTGCGCCGGGTCTAACATAGCGACAAGGCGCAGCCCTATTTTGATTGCACTGTATCCCCAATTGTGAAAAAAACTTACTGACGTCAAGCTCGAACTTGCTCACGTCCGCCGAGCAACATGAATTGGGTACAGTGCATTGCGACTGGCTTACATGCACCGTCCAGCAATAAACACCAGGAGCTGGGTTTGATGTTGCTGGTAGGACGGAGTAAACGCTCTGTGCGCGTACTCTGTTGCAAGTCGCGTAAGGGAAAGTAGGTGCAGCCTGACCCCGAGCCAAGCCCCTGAAAATATGTACATGAAGGGCAAAAGTTAGAAGAAGCGTATGAACGAAGGATGCTGTTCTGCGTGCAGCGCCCGTCGGCCGACAATGTCTGGAAAGCTGCACGCCGACATGGCCAACAGAACATACTTACGCCAAGGCCAGCAGCCCAAAAGCGAGCAGTAACCTCCGCATTGTAAAAGCTTTGGGGTCCGGATTGTGTAGGGCCCCTAGGTCACAAGAGAGCAAGAAAGACGTATGTCGGTCTTAGGGAGAGTCGAAGTAACAGCAGCCTCAATAGCTGCGCAAGAAAACTACGACATAGCAGCCTCATATTCGTGTTGTTATAGCCACGTTAATACATAACACCCTGTCATCAGCAACGCTCTTAACTCACCAAACTTCACAAAATCGACTTTGGCACCTTAACACCTAGCGTTGATCCGCTCCAAGACCTATACCGGGCCAGCGCGACAATGGTAAATGTCGCCGCTAAGCCCTATAGAAAGCCAATCGCCCTAATCCTCTATATATTGTGACCGACTGCCGTACATGCATGGGTACAACGACTGCAGGGGCATGCCGTCATGGCCTTTCGCAACGGTGAAACAAGTACATCGTGTTTTGGCAATTATACAGAAGAACCGAGTTACAGAGTTGCTAAGTTAGAGGTTGGTATGCTAGCCAGCCAATGCAACATGTCCCCACCTCCGCAACCTGGTATACCGCTCTCAGGCGTGTACACTGTATCCACTGCCGCGGTCCACTGGTTGCAAAACCAAATCTCGCCCACCATTCTGTCGTATTGCGTGTACGACATCTTATTCGACACTCACATAATAACCCGGTTGTTCGCATTTTTTGATTAAGCAGGTGTTGCGGGTTGACCCATACTCCTTCACTTTGCATCGCTGACTGGTAAGCTGGCTATCCTCTCATTTTTAGCTTTGTGATGATTTGCAGCTATATGCAGCTTACTTGCAGGCATTATTTACTTACGAGGTTTCTACGCTCTCATTGTACCCTGACTGCCAGGTCGAGACGCCTGACCTAGGAAAGGCGCCACCGGCAACCATGCGGCGTATCATCGCCGCCCTGGCCTTCTTGGCCCTCGCGTAAGTGATGTGTGTCGGGGATTCATGTATAGTAGTTTGCGACATTTGGGTTGGGCAGATCCACACGGACGTTTCCCAGACGTTTCCCAGAGGTTACTTCCTTGTGTGGCGGCAGTCATTGGTTTTCTTGAAGTCGTGCGGGAGCTTTAGCCAACAGCATATCATGGTCGCCTTTATCCTATTGGCAGGGTGTGCGCAGTGTCCGTCGCCCTGCGTAAGCTTTTCCGTGCTTGGCATGGTCCTCTGGCCTACCGCGTAACCTTGCGAAGACGCGTCCTCCGAACTCGACCAGACCATGTTCTTCACCATCTTTGCTGGCCCAAATGTCTTTTATGGGCATTTCCTGCCTATTGCTTAGCTTCGTCCTCCTGATTTCGTTGATGCGCTGCGCAGGGCCACGGCCATGGGCCAGAATACCTTCCCGTATGCGACCTGCACGAAGCAGTTGTCGAAGAGCACCTACTCAGTGGTGCCGTCCACCACCTTCCCGGCTGCCAACACCATCTGCTGGACGATTAAGTATTCGGCTGCTCAGTGCACCGTAGCCAGCAGCTGCTGCTCGACGAATGTGCACAAGTTCGAGCTTGACGTCAGTAAGTTGCGCTTCGTGTCCCGAACGCATATTGCGTAGCCCGTGGGGAACGGTTTACTAGATGTCTCTGGATTACTTGCATATGGAATCCCAAACGCCCTAAACAAAACATTATAAGCATATAGTGAGGTCGCTTTCTTTTTAGACTTGCCGAACAAACATGTCGAACAAACCCTGGTGCTTTGGTTGCACCTACGCTTGCCATATAGCGCCCTTGCTTGGCTCCATCTGTCTCGTATGGCATCAGTCCCATCTGGGTAACTTTCCTGCAATTACCATGCAGCCTATTTTCTTTATTCTTTGTCCTTCCTATCGAGTTACCTCATTTCGGAACCACACAATGCTGACCCATGTCCTTCCGTCTCCTTCCTCTGCTCGCTCCTTCAGAGCCCAGCTGCATGTCCGGCTTCAAGGCCACCGGCACCCTCAACGGCAAGGCCACCGTCGCGCCCGCCATCATGCGCCCTCCCAACGCCAACGCCACCCAGGCTGTGCTCTACGTCACCAGCCTCAACCTGGACAGCACCAACGCTGACGGTGCCCAGCTGTGCGTGACCATCACCAAGGGCAGCTGCACCACACTGTCCGCCCTGACCGTCAACCCCATCTGGTCGGCGGCCCTGTTCGACGCCAGCCACGTGTGCTGCCCCGTTATTCGCGGCGCCTCGCCTCCTCCTCCCTCTCCTCCTCCCCCCTCTCCTCCTCCTCCCCCTCCTCCTCGCCCGCCCCCGCCGTCGCCTCCTCCTCCCCCTCCTCCCTCGCCGCCTCCTCCCCCTCCTCCTCGCCCGCCTCCGCCCTCGCCTCCTCCCCCCTCGCCTCCTCCCCCCTCGCCTCCTCCCCCCTCGCCTCCTCCCCCCTCGCCTCCTCCCCCTCCTCCCCCGTCTCCCCCTCCTCCCCCCTCCTCCGTCCCCCCCTCCTCCCTCGCCTCCTCCTCCCTCGCCTCCTCCTCCGTCTCCCCCTCCTCCCTCGCCTCCTCCCCCGTCTCCCCCTCCTCCCTCGCCTCCTCCCCCGTCTCCCCCTCCCCCCTCGCCTCCTCCTCCGTCTCCCCCTCCCCCCCTCGCCTCCTCCTCCGTCTCCCCCTCCTCCCTCGCCTCCTCCCCCGTCTCCTCCTCCTCCCCGCCCGCCCCCGCCCTCTCCTCCTCCTCCCTCCCCGCCTCCTCCCTCTCCCCCTCCTCCCTCGCCTCCTCCTCCCTGCTCCGCCTGCCTCACCTGGGAGGTTGTCGGCAACCTGGCCTTCTTCGATAACGTCGACAACTGCAACGTCGCCTCCGCTGCCATCAAGTCCATTCTGAGCAGCTTCAAGACCTCCAAGAAGATCATCAGCGGCTTCGACACCGCCACCTGCAACGGCAACTACGTCCAGACCTGCGGCTCCTTCTGGAGCGTGGAGGCCGGTGCCCAGGTTGCCAACGCGCTGCAGGGTGTGGGCTCGGGCTTCGTGGTCAGCCCCGTGTTCGGCTACACCACCGACTGCCCCGCCGTGCTGGCCGGCTACGCGGTGCGCCTGGTGTCGAACAACGCCGTGTGCGCGAACGTGCAGATTGACGCGCCCGCCTGCGCCCCGCCCACCACCACCTTCCCCTTCTGCGTGTGCAACAAGGAGAGCGGTGCGACGCCCTTCGCTCTGCAGCGCCAGATCACCGAGACCGTGGGTGTCAACACCAACACTTACTGCGTCGGTGTCGAGTCCGTCACCCCCAACGCGGTAAGTTGACATGCGGCTGTACGGCGGTGCGCGTGCGTGCTGGTGATGCTTTGTGTTGGTTTGGAGTCGGTTGCTGTTTTGCTTAGGAAACAGCTTGCCGGCATGCGATTCATGCTACTTGTCGTTGATTGTGCGTTGTGCTCAACTTACCACCTACCTTTTCCTATACCCTGCTGCGTTGCTCTACGTGTTTCTTACCTTTTGCTTGCCGCCCCCCTTCCCTTCGCTTGCGCGCGCAGGGCAAGTGCGGCCAGCAGACCGTCATGAAGAAGGCCGAGTTCTACTTCGACCAGACCAAGCGCTTCCAGCTGGTCTCCATCAACGTGCGCTACAACAACGGCACCTCCTTCGGCCGCTCCCGTAAGTGCCGGTGATAGGGAAAGTGATAGTGCAGCTGGCGCATACTGTCTGTATGGCGTTGTGCTTCTCATGTTGATGTGAGTGTGGCCCTTTTTGTCGCTCTATGTTCGTGATGGATTGCGGCTGTCCGTGACGAGGTGTCCCTTCTCGTCTGCTTACCGTAACGAATGTGGTACCCGTGTCCTAACCACACCTCGTCGTCATGTTGTCTCATCTCTCCCGCATCTCCCCGCACAGAGTCGTGGGGCCCCACGGGCGACAACACGCTCAAGGTCAGCGACCTGAACTGGTCTGCTGCCGACGTGGCCGCTCTGGAGCCCGAGATCTGCTTCGAGCTGAAGAAGACCACCACCCTGGAGCAGTTCTCCATGGACCCTCAGGGTTACATCTGGGCCTCGCTGTTCGACCCCAACCAGAACTGCTGCCCGGTAAGGGAGGGAGGGCGGTGCAGGGAAGGGAGGGAGGGAGAGAGGGGTTGAACGGGATGCATGTGTGATGTGCGGCCGTCGTGGGAGCAGTGGTTTGTCGCCCATCCTCTAGTTAGATATGGGTAAGGATGAATGCCTTTGTTTGATCCAATGTTGAGTATGGCAACCCAAAACTGACGTGCTCCCTCTGCTCCCTTCGCCTCCCCCACGCAGACCTACTACGGCGTGGTCTACTAAGCGCCGCCTCATCAGTCCATGGCGCACCAGTGTTGCGCGTACGGATGCAATGATGACAGTGTAGTGAAGTGACCCGTCATTCATCAACCTGGATCAGTCCGTGGTGTCCGGTCCACGCCTCTCCCTTTGACACGACGTGTGCACTGTGCTTAACGACTTGTATTCGAGCGCCCGCCGGTATTTTTGCTGACTGTATTGCCCGTGCGATCCAATGATGGAACCGGCGCGACGTGACCGCTCCTTTAACTGCGTGCACGCATAAACTGGTCGGACGTTTATACCGAAATGGTCTCGCGCGCTGTTTCCATTTTGTGCGTGCAATTGCTGTCGGTGCTGATGTTGTTGGTTGGTTGCAAACCGTTGGACATCACAACCGCGGCGACGGCGTGCTGGGTGTGAATACGGCACTTTCGAAGTCAAGAAATGATTCGCTTGCGTGTCAATAACAGGTTGTTGAGAGAGGTTGAGCTGTAACTTCGCTCCTGTATTAAAGATTGTTGAACGTTGCACGCTGTGCATTTCTGCAGCTGTTGGACGTTGCTCTGCTATCCAACACGCCGTGATGGTTGTGTGTTCATGGGTGGTATCACGTTCCCCTTGCGGCAGCATGTGCATGATGATAGCTGTACGTGGGTACGACATTCTTTGTAACCATTTGTCGTTGTCCGCACCAATTGCTTCCGAAACCCAGTGGATCCACAGTTCAACACGGGTCCTGGTTTTACCCCGAAAGCCCCTCGCTATTCTGACGCCACATAGCAGCAGCAGATGCACAGCAACGGCAGCAATTAGGTGCGAGACATCAGTTGCGGGGTTCACCTTAAGCGCACGTCCCAAAGTGTGCCATACTGTCATTGCTAGCTGCGTACGGTAATCAGCTAGAGTTGAAGGAACTTTCATTGATATTCACGTAAAGCGAAACCGGCTGCCTTACAGCCATGGGGTACGTCGTTCAAGGCAGGGCTGTCATGTATGCCCCCGGCGGGTCCGGGGCAATTTACAAGGGGTCCCAATTCAGTGACAAGGAGGCTCTTGTCTTCAAGAGGCTAAGCATGCGCAGGATTGTCAGCTTCCTGGAGACTGCCCCTGCCATGATGACGACGACGCATGCGTACCCGTGTCCGGTCGACCCAAATAAGCTGACAACCCTTGTTTGGAAACTTACGCACACCCTTTGCTTGGGAGCTGCTGCCATACAGCCCTTGTTGGAGACACTGAGCTGCGACGGCGCCAACTCCAGTGCGCGTCCAGTGTCCAACGGTTGGTTGGTTGCCCCACGCGCCATGCCGTACGAAGGGAATGGTGGGAATGAGCCATTCGCGACGAACAGAAGCCAAATGGCAGCTAAGTATGAAGCATGCCAAACGGTAGGGCCCAACGACATGCGGTGTGGTGTCCTGCGCCCGCCATTAGGATTGAGGTGATTGAGCCTCGGCCCTAGGCCGTGACGCGTCCCGCGTCCGAAGTACCGGTACTTGGGAGAAGCAAACAAAGCACCCACTTCGAGTCTTTTGCACTGCCAGCGTGGAAGACCGTACAGACCTGGGATCTCCCTTCGCTGTAGGGTTGCCGTTGCTTGCACGTTCGAGTCGTAGACCATCCCTTCTAGTCACTTCTGTGACCAGAAACGCCTCCCAACTGCGCGGCTGCCCGGCCTCACACGTGTTGTCTCCAGCAACTGAGGGAACTGACCCATGGGTCACCAACCACCGCGGTGCTCAACACGCATAATGCCACCTGGGAACAAACATTTCCTCGGCGCCGTCGCAAACCTGTTTGGCAGCGAGGAGGGCTCAGACTGCTTGATCCGCTTCTACCAGGAGGCGGACGCCCCTGGACAGCCTGAGAAGCAGCAGGATGCGCTTGAGGCAGTCCACTCAGCTGCTGGGGCTGGGGCCGGGGCCGGGGCTGCTGACAACATGCTGGAGGTTGGAGGTCACCTCGGAAGCCCGCTCCCCGCACATCGGTTCGTCCTCTGCTACAGCTCCGAGCGTTTCCTCTCGCAGGCAGGGCTTGGTTCATACCGTTGACGGATACCTGGCTGTGCCCAACCTGCTTCCCGGCATGCATGCACAGATTGCGCACGTGTCCCAAGAGGGCCAAGACTGCTGGTGTGCTCGCACCTACCGTCTGTAAAGCGAACATTCCCTGTGCTCCGTTCGCGTAGCTTATCCTAGCAGCCAGACTGACATAGCAGCAGCAACACGCCACATGCTTCTGACATGTTACCCTTCGTCCCGCTGCTGGTTGCCCCCCCCTCCATGCAGTTTAAGCGCTGGGACAACGGCCAGCAGGCCCCACCGGCATCCTCCACATCTTCCTCCACCTCCTCCACCCCCCGCCCCGAGCTGCGCATCCCCCTGGGCAGCGAGGCGGAGGTGGACAGCGCGCGTGCGGCCATCCGCTTCGCCTACACGGGGCAGGTGCAGGCGGGCAGCGTGCGGGAGGCGCTGGAGGTGCGGCGGCAGGCGGCTTACCTGCAAATCGAGGGCTGCGCTGAAGCATGCGATGATGTCCTTCATGGCTTGATGGTCGCAGCCGCAGCAGCCCAGGGCTCCAATGGCGCAGGCGCAGGTGCACACAGCGCCCCAGGCACGCGGCCGGCTGCATTGGAGCTATACGCGCACGAGGCTCTGTGGCCTGATCCTGCTTTGGAGGAGAGTGCAGGGTTTGAGGCCGTCGTCGCGGCCGCCAAGCCGCAGCTGGTGTCGTACTTTGGCGACACGCTGTGTGTGCTGAACACGCCCTCGCTCCGTCAGCAGCTGCTGGATCTGCCGGCGGTGGCGGTGGAGGCGCTGCTCGAGTCGGACAGCTTCGGCACCGACAGCGAGTCCAGCGTGCTGCTGCTGCTGGCGGAATGGATGGAAGCCAACTACACGACCAAGACGGACGTAGCGGTGCGCGAGCGGCTGTGCCGGCTGGTGCGGCTGGTGCAGCTCAGCAAGCCCTACCTAAGCTTCGTGCTGCAGGCGCTCGCTGCGGATTACGAGGTGTCACCTCGCGCGCGAGCCGGCTGGTTCCCTGTAACCCTGGCCGAAGCCGGCTTCATAGGCCACTTTGCTGGTGCCTCTGCCAAGGAGCGGAAGCGGATGCTTGAGGAGGCAGAGGCGTCCGCTGCATACGACGTCCACTCCGCGACCTACAACACCACACCCCGCGTGCAGTGCGTGCCCGCGGGTGGCCTTAGCTTCGCCTTGCACATTACTCATTGGGAGCTAGAGGCGAAGCTGGCAGCCCGGCGGCCGGGCGAGCCTGTGAAGCTCTTCTGGGCGATGGACCCGCAGCCGGTCATCAGTGCGCATGGCTTCGAGTGGGAAGTGTCCTTACAGTGGCGCCGCGGCGATCCGTCCGCTGGGTTGTTCCTGCACTGCTGCAAGCCCGGTGCCTACAAGGTCCTAAACCCGCGCCGCTTCCGGGCCCCTGCGCCGATGCTGGTCAGCATGCGCAGCCGGCTGATCGTTGACCGTTGGCACAATGGCGCTAGGGCAGGCTCCGTCCAGCACGACTTCGACATGGAGTTCTTCGTGGGCGTGGAGAGAGGTTTGGGGTATGCATCGGCACTGCCCCTTCAGCAGCTGGAGCGGGGCGCGGAAGCACGTGGTGGCGGCGGCAATGGTGCTGCCGCTGCTGCAGCAGGTGGTCGGGAGGCGGCGGGCGGTAGCCAGCAGGTGCTAGCAGCCTGGGGGGAGTACCTGCAGGGGGGCAGGATTACCGGCAGGCTGACGCTGCTGCCGCCAGCGGCTGGGGTGCAGTGGTGAGGAAGGAGGGTTGCAGGAGGGCGGAGCGCGGGTGCCATGCAGGGGATGACATGCGGCATGATTCCTTGACATGCGGCTTCGGGGGTGCATAATAGGGCTGTAATAGGGTGTTTCAATTGCATCAAGCTTGCATCGTAGGGATGACACAAGTATTTTCGTATGTGGCTTTGGCGCGACCATGTTGGTTCGGGTTGCTCCGCCCTTACCTGACGTAGACTCCAGGTAGGGGCTGCTGGTGCGTGGGACTGGCTGTCAACAATTAGGGCGTTTGAGGATGCTGGCGTAGTTACGGTCATACGAATCGGCTTTGGACAGTCTCAGGCCTTCATGGGAGGTCCAGACGGACAGAGAAATCTGCACGGCAGGTCACGCGTCCTTGCGCTTGTCCGGTCAGGTGTGTTGGCTGCTGCAGTCATTTTGTTCTCCCTTCTAGCGGGGGCTAGCCGGTGGTTTCCTTGAGTAGGGGTTTCCCCTGAGGGGTCCTGACTCCTGAGGGTTACACCTCGCCGGGCATGCTTGGTGCTTTCTAACACAACAGTTCACATGGAACAAAGAAAGGGTACGGTACACGCTCACCTCTTTATGCTCGTGTCAATACTGGTACGGACACTGGACCAAGGTGCGGATCCCGACTGCCGCTCCCTTGGCGGTCGCAGTAGTAGGGGGTTAAGGTATTATGAGACACGCAGTGGCCGCAGTGGGGGCGGGGTTTAGCTCCTCGACGGGCTCGCAAACATAGGCTGGCCATGAACGACTGCTCGCAGCCCTCCCCGCTGGTGCCGCCGCTGCTGCTGATGCTGATGTAAGAAATTTGGGGGTGGAGTGTCTCGATTGGCTTGTGAATGCCCCGTGGGTCGGCATCCCAACACTTCCCTCCAAACCCCTCCCAGCAGCCAGCCAGCCAGAGGTGTCTCACAGCGGCGGCATCAGCATTGCTTAAGCCAGGCTTCAAACGAGGTTAGCAATACGGCGTATGGATACGATCATCCGGTTACTGCTGCCGTGTCACTGACGGTGTCGTACCGGTACATGGAGTTAGGAAGAGGGGCCACTGTCCAGCCGCTTCCTACCTTGTGTATTGGTGTCGCACCTTTGTTCCACCCATCTGCAGAAGCCAAGGACGAGACAGGTATGGGGGAAGTCCTGAACATTAGCGGCACCTGTGCAGCTAAAGGTATCAGGCCAGCCTTGTTGATAGGGATTGCATCCGGACAAGTTACAGCAGAAACGGATTGGAAGATGCAGGGAGCTCCTTATTCGCGTGGACTTAACCCTTACAGTAGTCGCTTTCGAAGCATTTTGACCAATTGATGATACAGCTCCTTCTGCATGGCTTGCCGTACCGTTCGGGCGTCCGTACCTGGGTAAACGTCACAACGCACTATACATACTTTGGTTCTTTACTAAGCAAGCCAGAAGAGAACCCTGTAATACACTCTCCCTTTACTTGGTAACCAGTAATGGTGCCTCTCTCGCCCATCTAGCTGAGTGGTCCTGGGTCATCCGTGCAACACCTGCAGGTTAATATACTACACGAGCACACCGACGTCCAGCCTTTATCACTTTCATGACGCTGTAGATTGGTTAGTGGATACTAGCTTGCATTAGCCACTAGGTCGAGTGGGTCAGGGAAATGAGGACTTAGCATCGCGAACGCCCACTTCACCTGCTTCACCCCACCCGGAGGAAGCTATGGAGGACCCGCCTGAGGTTCGACGCAGACGTCGAGAATCACAGCGCCAGAGCGCTGCTCTGGAAAGTGGCAACGCACAAACAGGAGAGCATGGAAGGGATGAGGCCCTGGGCAACGCGGTTCACAACCATCGCGTGCAGCAACATATAAATTTGGACGAACACGAGGACGAAAACGACCTTGCGGCACAGCGGCCTGTAAAACGTGCACA